ATTTCAAAGATGTCACGTTAGCAAAGCATTCTCTCTGACTGCAGGCTAGACAAGTTGCTATCTCAGCAGTCCTTCTCAACACCAGCCACTTCAATTCAATTTTAGAGATACTCAGCCCTGCTCCTCAAGGCAGCAAGTCTGCCAGTTGTCCTCTACGTGGTCCTCTGTAGCTCAGCTGGTAGAGCACGGCGCTTGTAACGCAAAAGGTAGTGGGTTCAATCCCCGGGACCACCCATACACAAAAAATGTATGCACGCATGACTGTAAGTCGCTTTGGATAAAAGCGTCTGCTAAATGGCATATTATTATTATATTATTATTGGTACTTAATCCATCAATTGAAGTCAATGTTTGGCGACGATGTTCACTCACCTAACGGATAATAGCTGTGTCTCAAATGACACCTTCTTCCCCAAAAGGTTTTTGTGTTTTATAACAATATATTCTGGCGACAAGCACTGTACTATACTATACGGATCATTGCACTTGTTTGTGACCTACCTATAGCATTGACAAATGTGTAGTGCTATGTAAATTCAGTAAGCATACATCTACCCTGACGCAACAGTGGTTCAAGGCTGGCTGCAGCTCCTCACTTTCAGCACTAGGGGTCACCAGTTATCCCAGCCTCATAGATGACCTGGCACACTAACAATGCTCTCAGCCAACTACATCCCTCTCACAATCCCCGCCTCACCCTGAGCTGTGGCTGCGTGCGATTGGCTTATCCACTCTGGCCTGGCTCGTTAATTCGTGCTTCTGTAATTCCTCCCCTGATAAGAAACTTTAATTCAAAATACATCATCATGGCCCAGCTCTGACCTGCTTCTGTGAAAGCACAAATTATAAGTTGCTGCCAAAGCACAGATCTAGAACCAGCTTACCCTATATACCTCCTAACCTCCGTCATTTAGAGGGTGAAACATCAAAACCGACCTCAAATCAGCCCTTATTCACAACCTATATTCTCTCTAAATGCTAATTATGTTGTGACAGAAAGAATTGCATAGTAAAATACTCTCGTCAATGATAATCATAAAGTCTATCTCTAATGGAGCTGGTCCAGTCCAGTATAGGTTCTGTGAGGGGGTCATGTGACCGCTTTCAGGTAGCTAATTGATAGTTGGAGGCTTCCAGCACGTCATATCCATGGTGAAGACCTCAGGGACCTGATTTAGTGTCTTATTGTCTGTTTTCCACTGTGGGGGTAATGGGAGAGCTGTGGATTGGACTCATCTACAAGTAGCATATCTATCATCAATAGAGAATACTCTGCATTTATGTTTGTAATGGTATTTATTTTGGGTGTGTGGGTAGATCTCTAAACTTCCATACAATGCCTCAGGACCGTGTGTGTGTGTGTGTTTCTTGATGTGGGCTTGTGCACACGTGTGTTCGTCATGTGTGCTCGTACAGTTGTCCACCACCCTCACATACAGTGAGATTTGGGTGTTTAAGGTGTGTGTGTGTGTGTGTGTGTATGAGAGGAAAAGCTTTAAATGGTGCAAAGGCTCTCTTGCATTCTCTCCTCTCCCTCCTTTTCCCATCCCTCTCTATCACTCTCTCGCCATTACAGACAGTTTTTTCTTTTCATCTCTCCTCTCTCATCCCTCTTGATCTTTTCATAAACTCCTTAACACCCACCCTCCTCTCCTGCATCTTCCTTCATTCTTTTGAACTTGCTTTAATGATCTTGGTTTTGCAGAGAATCAACAATGATTTATTTTATTTTCCATCAGTAGCTTCTTGCCAACCGGGGAAGCTTTTGAGTCGTGTGTGTGTGTGGAGCCCGACTGATATATCGGTGTACCGATCTTATCAGCTGATATTGGCCTTTTTACCAATAAATCGGTATCGGACCAAAATTTCACCTATAACCGATATTCAATACATACTATGAAATAAGGAAATATCATGCTTATCTGATTGTTTGCGGCCATTCTCATGATGTCATTATTGTCACAATGTAAGAAAATAACATCTGAAACATATTTCTTGGACAATTGCTATTTTGGATGACAATTTATGAGAACTCAGTGTGGGAAAAATGTCACTTTTTAATTTCCCTGCTGTAACAGTCTATTGGCAGATATATCGTATTGGTAAACTTTGCCCCCCCCCCCCCCCCCCCCCCCCCACAGAAAAATTCTGATTCGGTATCGGACCAAAAAAATATAGCATATCGGTGTGTGTCTCACACCAAGAGAGCAGCAGAGAGTGAGGAGGAGGGAGGGAGGCACAAGGAAGTGGATAGGAGGAGGAGAAAAGAGGAGGGAGGGAGAAAGAAAGCTAGAGCAGCAGAGGTTGTGAAGCTGCAGCAGCCTGAAGATAAAGTGTTTTTCTCTCTGCCGGTGCCTGCGAGCGAGAGCACGAACGAGAGAAGCCAGCGAGAGCGAGAGGAATACAGGCTGCCTGCTGTCACTGTGGCTCCCGCTTTCCCCTGGATCTACAGACCTCGGCTTACGTACACACATAGAGGATTCATACACACACACAGCTGATCAGAGGATCGCCCAGCCCTGCAGGCATACACACACGCTCTTGCTCTCTCTTCAGCTGCACATACACACACACACACACATATTTCGCTTCTCTACCGGGAACACCGTATAAATTGGATCAATCCGACCATTCCTGTCTGACCGGGACCTTGTTCTCCCTTCATCCGGATCCCCCTCTCCTCCTCCATCTCTCTCTATAACTAGCCAAGGAGCTCCAGACTACCGGACTAATCCTCTGCCTTTGCCTTACCCAGTCAGCTGTTCGTTTGCAGGCAGCGTTAGGAGGGCGGCTAAAGCTGGGGATACTGAACCTTCCCTAACCAAGTCTAACCCAGTTTAGCCTACTCCTGTAGCCTAGCTTCCTGTAGCCCAGCCTACTGTAGCCCAGCCCAGCCATCGCTGGTCATTCGATTAACCAGACCAGAGGAGACGAGTGGAGAAGGAGTGCCTTTTTAACCAACCGCCTGTCTGCCTGCTTGGTTGTCTGCAACCAGACCCTCTTTGCATGCACGCCTATGGAATCATACTGGGAACACATACAGACCTGGATGAGTGTGGATGCTTATATACTGGAGTACTGGAGCAGTGTCAAAGACTGCTGCAGGGATGACTGAAAAAGCCTGCCTGGCTGACAGACAGTGACAAGGTTGGAGATGGACTGAGGGGTTAGTGATTGGATAGCACCAGCACGATCTCCCAGCAATCCTCCATCGGAGGGGGGATAAGATCAAGGCCGGTATCCAGGGGGGAGCCACGTGACGTCTGGAAAGCGAAAGGTGGGGTCTCTACTCCTTAACTCAACATGCTCTGGATTTTAACCTGATACAGTACCAGAGACAAAGCTACAGGAACCACTACCAGCTTCCCGAGTTGTCTGGCTTTTCTATGAGACAACGCTACAGGTATCTTACCACTCCTAATGCAATGTGTGATTGTAGTCATTGAATGATGGTCGAAGAAGGATAATGCAAGACACCTACAGTTCAGAATCTCATCACCTCTCTTCCTGGTCCCATGGTTACCCTTATCACCTGGAGACTTCCAAGTCAGCACCATAACGTTGACTTAACGCTCATTCAACTATCCCAGGAGGTTTCCTTCGTACTGAGACCTCTCTGTGGTTAACAACCGTGTGAACTGAAGGAAATCAAACACCACATGACGCAGCGACTCCATGAACAGGGGGGATCGTGGGAGACGCCGTTGAGACTCTGAGTTTTTAACAATCTGTCAGAGTATTGGCGGACTGTCCACTATCTCCCACCACCAATCCGGATAGTGGATATTAGCATGCTGTCTTGGCAGAATGGGACACCACTGGCTACTACAGAGCTAATGCTATCACCACCGCTACTACTATGACTGTTGTTGACCGTTACGGCGCTGACAGCAATAACATTATCGCAAGAGCGGAGAGTTATTAATAATATATGATTCTGGATACCTGGAGGCGAGCCTGTATAAAGTACTTGGATTACAGTACCCCCGGAACGACAGGGAAACGTATTGCAAACAAACTGTGTGTGTGTGTGCGTGCAGGATGGCGGAAACAGAGCGGAATTGCATATGACGTGATCTTTTTTCCGCTGCTGAGCGACTGGGATGATGTGCACTGAGTCACACACTGCATGTGTGTGTGTGTCTGCACTGCAGCTCCCTCGCATCTCACCCTCTGAGGAATTGCAGATATGAGATGAGACAAGCACTGATTCCATCGCAGGTAACGCCAGAAACCCCATGGACTTCTCTCACACACACATACACACACTCCGACATTGTGTGTATGAAACGACTGATGTGCTGAAAAGGACACATCTGCAGTGCTCTGACTCACCGTCTCCTACTCCGACTCTCATAGCCTCATTCAACATGTAGTATGTATGAGCTACATTGACTTTCGTTCTCACCTGTCAAAACTTGGATGAATTAACTGCCTGAGCCAAATCTATTTTCTCTTAAGCTGTGCGGAGTCTGCTGACATGTTTCTGCCTCAGTGTCCTTGACGTGAGTGCTGTTACCCTACTGGGACGTCCGTGACCTGCCCATAGAGGCATAGCGACAGTGGGGGCCTCGGAGAGCGAGCAAGAGCAAGCAGGGCTGACCGCGGTGTTGCCTGAGCATATGTGAGGTGAGGCAACAGCTGCAAAGAGAGGAGGAGAAGAGGAAGAGGGGGAGGAAAGACGGGGAGAGGAACACCTACGGACAGACGAGAGCTGTGACACGCAAGCCTGCAGCAAGCACCTCGGCCGGGTGGACTGAACCAGACACTATGAGAAGGTGACGAGAGCCCATCCCGTCTCTTCATTGTCATTTTCTATACTCCTGGCAAGCAACTGGAGCTAAACCTGCTATCACTAACGTCACACCGAGAGCAGGTGTCACATTGATATCGCTTTTGTCTGTCACTCTCTGCTGCTCTGATCTGCCTGTCCATCTGACTGTCTGTTTTGCTTTCTATTTTTGCCTCCTCTGTCCCTTCCCTCTGTCATTCACTCTGAGATGGGAAGCTCTATGGGTTGTGTGAGGCCTCCTAGGGAGGGAGGACACGGCTTACCCCCACTGTCCCCCAACCCCAAACGGCGCCTCCGCTTCCGGCGGAAACGCAAAGGAAAGAAGCACCAGAAAAGAGAGTCGGTAGGCTCGGAAGTGGAAAGCATAAGGATAAGCAACATACCAGAGGAAGAGGATGAAGAGGAGGAGGACAGAGGTACTGTCACAGAGGCGACCACCGCCTCGTTCAACACTATGAGTGATGTCGGCGCCAAAATCACCAATTTAACCGTGCCTCATGTCCAAACTCAATCCAGACTACCCCTTCCCAGTGCTCTCTGTGCTGACTCCACAAGCGACAGCATGGGGGGGTTGGGTGGTAGCAGAGTGCTGTCCCCTGAGCCAAGCCCAGTGTGGAGAAGGGTGTCCTACCCCGGAGCTGGGAGTGAGGAAGGGGGGACGAGCAGTACCATAGAGGCCCCAAGCAGCCAAGGGCAACCCAGTGAGGATCCCACCCCGTCCGCAGACAACCCTGACCCATCTTTCCCGTCCCAGGTGTACACCACCCCTGGTGGGGGTCGGGTCTGCAAAGTCAGGGAGCGAGAACAAGGGGTCCTGGAGAGGCCTTGTATACTAAGACCCAAGAAAGAAAGGGAACGAGAGAAAAAACGAGAGAAAGAGGATGAAGGTGGGGGTGGGCTAGCAGGGACTCTGGGGGTTGCTTTTAACGCCCCTTCGGAAAAGGAGCGCAAAGGGGTGGTCCACATTCGCGAGGTGGAGGGCCGGCTGTGTGTTGTGAGGACAGTCTACCCCAGTGACTTTGGGTCCCCGGTTTGGAGAGGGGACAGTTACCATGATAAAGAGGTAGAAGTAGAGGTACGTGCCGAACCTCCAGCCGCATCCCCAGTGACTGGGAAAATCCTCAAAGTACAGCTTTCTGAGGAAGACATCATGAAAGCCAAAATTGACGCCTCCAGTCCGCATAAGACAGCTAAACGTCTGGGGACCCGGGAAACTACAGAAGTCAAGGAAGGCACAGTGACTGGAAACAAAGTTCAACTCTCTGAGGAAGACCGCAGGAGAGCCAAAATGGATGCCAGGACCACTTTCCTTATGGGGACACAGGAAACTACAAAAGTCAAGGAACTCAGTCTGGATAAACCAGCACAGGTCCAACAGGGACTATTAATACAGAACCCTCTTTCCTCTGGTTATGCCAACGATCTGCCACTCACATCCCCAGAGACTGGGGGAGTCACCCAGGTAAGCAGGGTTGGCTTGACCCAAAGTAGAGCCAAAATGGACACCTCTGGTCCCAATATGACAACCAACCTTATGGGGACCCAGGAAACTACGACGGCTGAGGGACCCTCGGTACAGGACCCTCTGTCCTCGGGCTATGCCAGCGACCTGCCACTAACCTCCCCAGAGGCAGGGGGCGCCACCCAGGTAGACTGGGAAAGCTCCAGAGAGGGACTGGACTCTGCAACGGACAGTCCTCTATCTCCACCCCAGTTCCCCACAAAGCAGTTCCCTCAGGTCAGCGGCATCTTTTTCTCTTTCCTTCTCTTTTCCGCTCGCTCTCTTTTACTTGTGGAAGTGGAAATGTAGGCTAGATATTTGGGGGCTTGTCCAGGATCAGGGCGGGAGAGCATATTTATGAATGTGTGTTGCCCTTTTACGGCTTGTATACTACTGTCACACATCTTTGTGTCAGAGAGATTTTGTGTGTGTGTGTGTCCTGGTTGTCAGCCCTGCAGAAGGCACTCTGCATCTTCTCATCCTTCCGGAGTCTGTCCCCAGAGCCTAATCAGCACAGCACAGACCTTCTCTGCATCTCTCCCCCTTCTCTCGCTTCTCCATCACTCATTATTTTCCTCACACGCCCACTCTTTCCTCTGTTACTTCTGACTGTGTGTGTGTGTGTGTTTCCTCAAATGGCAGGGTTCCTGACAGCATACTGAAACGTGTTATTTTGCAATTATGTATTGGTTTATGAGATCATACGGCTCACACAATGATGTGTGTGTGTCTGGGGGGTGGATTCAATGGCCTCATTTGAGCTCCATCGCAATAAGCTGTTCAATGAAAGGACCAACTGTCATAGAAATATAATTACAGTAACTTTAATGGTAATGTCGGTTCTAGTAATTCTACCCCTATGCCTACTCTATTGTAGGTCTTTAACCCCACAGTTGCTGGTGACCCTTTCACTGTTGTTACCAATAATTAACCTCAATTGGTAATGGTAGTTAGTTGATATAGTACCTTTCTTGCTCAAAGTGCTTTACATTGACAGCAGGAAACTCCCTTCGTGGCTGCCGACCTGTAGCACCCGGCCGTCAGTATGTTATGTATGCTGTGATGGTATGACGTTATGTTCTCTTTGGGCCTGTGTGTCTTATTTGATGCGCGGTGCTGAGTCACGGGGAAAGCAAGACACACACCCACACCCACACCCCCCACACCCCCCACACACACACACACACACACACACACACACACACACTCAGTTGCTTAGAGCCCGGTCTCCGCAGAGGCTCCCGTTTACGAGTGTTTTAGCCAGGTAACGATCAATAGTTCTGGCTCTTTCTCGAGTGTGTGGGTGGGTGGGTGTGGTGTGTGTACGTACGTGGCGGCTGCCTTTTTGGCAATGTCTGGGCTGCCCTCATAGGAATAAATAGGGATTTCAGATGCGCATTCATCAACACTATACTGCTACATCTAGCCTCAGAGGGGGATTCCAAACACTTTATATCCATCCCACTCTCTCTTTGTCTCTATCCCTCTCTCTATCCCCTCTTTTTATGTATTTGGTGTATTCTGTCCGTCTCGTTCTCTCTCCCCATCAACTACTGTATCTAAATATCTCCTCGTCTCTCTCCCTGCCTATCCTCCATTTTCTCTCTTTCTCCCTCCCTCTCCATCCACCCCTCTCTCTCCCATCGCTCTTCCTACTTCAAAGGACCCTTTCTTTAAATGGAGCCTGTTCTGAGCCCCAGGGGGCTAGTGTATCATAGCAGTGTACAGTAAATGTGTTTTTATAGCCATTCTAGTCAATGGTGATAGCACTACCTTGCTGTCTCTGAAGCTGTGTGTGTGTGTGAGCATGTTAAGGCACTGACTCAACAATCACGAGACGGTGAGAGAATGAGTCAGAGTAAATGAAATGCCCAACAGGAGCTCAGTATACAATTAAAAATATTTATGAAACAGAACTTGTCAGTGGTCCAATGTAAACAAGCACTGTATGTTGTACTTGAACATACTTTGATGTGTGTATTCGAGGGTTACGCCATCTTAAAGAGCGTTCATAGTGTGTCTGTTGGCACTTATCAGGACTCCTGGGTGGCAGCAGGCCTCTGGCTGCTCGTGTGTGTGTCGGTGACGGTGTGTCTGTTAGTGTTTGGTAGTGTCTGATTTAAGCATGATGTCACCAGCTAATTGACACTATGTGCCCTGTTTTGACAGTGTAAAATCGCTACCATATGTTACCCAAAACAACCGTATTACTCATAATACCTGGTTCAGAATTTATGACAAACGTGTCCATGAGAAGGTGGCAATTATGTATGAAGATTTTAATTGGGCAGTGCAAGCATACAGTATGTGGTATGCGGTCCAATCACCAGCTGCGGTATTCTAAACAGGTTATGGGTTGCAGGGGGGAAACTGAGCTACACAGGATGGTAGAGTGAGGCTGTGCTTGACTCTGTTGTTTATTGCCAGTCAGTTTGTAGTGTATGGCCTTGCCTTGATAATCTTTACTATAAGAGCCTCGCGCCACGGAGGAGCTGTGTTTTGGGGTACACACAGGTGTGTGTCTGTCTGCGTGTTTGCTGTCGGTGTGTTTGGTTTGTACTGTATGTGCATGTCTAGCCTTATTAGTTTAGGCAGGGCTGGTTTTGCTCTCTCTTGTTTGCAGGCCATTCCTCCTCTCCCGCTCTCATCCCCCCTCTCTCTCTCCTTCTCTTTTGGCTGTTGCTGCAGTCTCCTGGCACTCACTGGACTTTCATTCTGTTCTATATTAGCACCCGAGAGACAGACAGACTGACTGACGGAGGGAGGGCGGGCGGGCAGGCAAGATAGGAAGTGAGAAAAAGGGATGACGGAGGAATACTGATGACAAGAACCAGGCACTGCCAGATACTGCATATACAACAGCCACCCTTTGTCATGATGAACAGATTAAAGAAATAAAGAAGAAAGTATAGGGAAAAAGGGGAGGGGGGAGGTGGAGGACGGTTGGCTTAAGGAGGTTATAAGCGCTTTGACCTCAAAAAGAAAAGAGAGGGTAGAAAAGGAGGAGTGAAACAGCAGATTGATGTGAAGGCGAGACGAATGAATCAGAACGAGGCAGTGTTTGAGGAAGAACAGATCAAATGAGGAGAAAAGCTAAAGTGACAGATAGAAGAAGGAATGAAGTGGGGGGGGGGGGGAGAGGGGGATATTGTGGTGAGAAAACAAGTTAATGAGCTGGCCAGAATAATGAGAGACCGAAAGAGAAAATAATAGAACATTGGCTCGGGCTTAAGGCCTATTGATTAAAGGAGAAGAAGGATCGGAACAAAGATGACAAGTTGAATAAAAGACTAGCACGTTGATACATTTCTGCTGACTCACTGTGTGTGTACGTTTGTGTGTCACGTACATCCGTGTTTGCCTGTGTGAAATAGGGGCACAGTGATTGTTCATTCATTTAAGTCATGACACTAAAGAGACCATATGTTTGAAACAGAGTAATTAATGCACACTGTGGGTTACAGACTCATAGTAGGACAATGGCATGAATATGAGATAGGATAATGTAGTGTATAATGAATGTTTACCCATAAAGGGAAATGGTGTGTATATGTGCCAGCTGTTGTGTTTTTCGTTACCACGATTATACAGTAAGAGCAGGCATCTTTTGACCATGAAATAGTTCATATTTGGAACCTTATACCAATAACATTACTTATGGATGGATCCAAGCAAAGTCATCCCAATATGTACACTACCAGTCAAACGTTTGGACACACCTGCTCATTCAAGGGTTTTTCTTTATTTTTACTATTTTCTACATTGTAGAATAATAGTGAAGGCATCAAAACTATGAATTAACACATATGGAATCATGTAGTAAACAAAAAACTGTTAAACAAATCAAAATATATTTTAGATTCTTCGAAGTAGCCACCCTTTGCCTTGATGGCAGCTTTGCACACTCTTGGCATTCTCTCAACCATGAGGAATTATTTTCCAACAGTCTTGAAGGAGTTCCCACATATGCTGAGCACTTGTTGTTTTCCTTCACTCTGCTGTCCAACTCATCCCAAACCATCTCAATTGGGTTGAGGTGGGGTGATTGTGGAGGCCAGGTCATCTGATGCAGCACTCATCACACTTCTTGGTCATATAGCCCTTACATAGCCTGGAGGTGTGTTGGGTTATTGTCCTGTTGAAAAACAAATTATAGTCCCACTAAGCGCAAACCAGATGGGAGGGGGTATCACTACAGAATGCTGTGGTAGCCATGCTGGTTAAGTGTGCTTTGAATTCTAAATTAATCACCGACAGTGTCACCAGCAAAGCACCATCACACCTCTTCCTCCATGCTTTACGGTGGGAACCGCACATGCGGGGATCATCCGTTCACCTACTCTGCCTCTCACAAAGACACAGCGGTTGGAACCAAAAATCTCAAATTTGGACTCATCAGGCCAAAGGACAGATTTCCACCTGTCTATTGTCCATTGCTCGTGTTTCTTGGCCCAAGCAAGTCTCTTCTTCTTATTGGTGTCCTTTAGTAGTGGTTTCTTTGCAGCAATTCGACCATCAACGCCTGATTCATGCAGTCTCCTCTGAACAGTTGATGTTGAGATGTGTCTGTTACTTGAACTCTGTGAAGCATTTATCTGGGCTGCAATCTGAGGTGCATTTAACTCTAATGAGCTTATCCTCTGCAGCAAAGGTAACTCTGGGTCTTCGTTTCCTGTGGCGGTCCTCATGAGAGGCAGTTTCATCATAGCGCTTTATGGTTTTTGCGACTGCACTTGAAGAAACATTCAAAGTTCTTGACATTTTCCAGGTTTGACTGACCTTCATGTCTTAAAGTAATGATGGGCTGTCATTTCTCTTTGCTTATTTGAGCTGTTCTTGCCGTAATATGGATTTGGTCTTTTACCAAATAGGGCTATCTTCAGTATACCACTCCTACCTTGTCACAACACAACTGATTGGCGCAAACGCATTAAGAAGGAAAGAAATTCCACAAATTAACTTTTAAGAAGGCACACCTGTTAATTGAAATGCATTCCAGGTGACTACCTCATGAAACTGGTTGAGAGAATGCTAAGAATGTGCAAAGCTGTCATCAAGGTAAAGGGTGTCTACTTTGAAGAATCTCAAATATTACTACATGATTCCGTATGTGTTATTTCATAGTTTTGATGTCTTCACTATTATTCTACAATGTAGAAAATAGTACAAATAAAGACACACCCTTGAATGAGTAGGTGTGTCCAAACTTTTGACTGGTACTGTATATCACATATTTATTAACCCTCACCTCTCCTCTGGTCTCACCAGATCTGTGTATTCATAATATATTAATAACCCTATCCTCTCCTCTGTATTCCAGATATCAGAGATCTATGTGAGTGGTGAGTCAGGGGACCTGACAGCTAAGGAGAAGCTGTTGTTATGGAGCCAGCAGGCCACAGAGGGTTGGCCTGGCCTCCGCTGTACCAACTTCTCCTCTTCCTGGAGCGACGGACGCATGTTCAACGCCCTGCTCCACCGATTCAGGTACACACACACACACACACACACTGAGATGCAGATACACCCACACTTTCAGTTCTGACCCCCCCTGTCTCCCTCTCTGGTGGTCTTCAGGCCAGACCTGATTGATATGGAGGTGGTGGCGCAGCAGAGTAACCTTGACAACCTGGAGCAGGCCTTTGAGATTGGAGAGTCGCTAGGGGTGACCAGACTACTGGACGCTGAAGGTAACTGTCTGTCTGCCTGTCTGTCTGTCTTTGTGTTTCTGTCCGTCTGTGTTTCTGTCTGTCTATGTTTCTGTCTATCTGTCTGTGTACTTCTCGACTCCAGCCGTTTTACGGTGTTGACAGGTCTGGTATCGTGAGACTAGTGTACTTCATGATACTGTCTGTGTGCCTCTGTGTTCTGTTGGTCTGCCTCTCTTTTTTTTGGTCTCCCTACCGTTTATATCATGTTGACCTTTCCGCTCCCCCTTTCATCTCCTCCTACCGCTTTCTCTCTTTTTCTCTCTCTCTAGATGTGGATGTTCCGTCTCCAGATGAGAAGTCGGTCATCACATACGTCTCCTCCATCTACGATGCCTTCCCCAAGATCCCTGAGGGAGGAGAGGGCATCGCAGCACATGTATGTTCTACTCCTCTCACATTAACATTAGTATGTACAGTGAGGGAAAAAAAGTATTTGATCCCCTGCTGATTTTGTACGTTTGACCACTGACAAAGACATGATCAGTCTATAATTTTAATTGTAGGTTTATTTGAACCTGAGAGACAGAATAACAACAAAAATCCAGAAAAACGCATGTCAAAAATGTTATAAATTGATTTGCATTTTAATGAGGGAAATAAGTATTTGACCCCTCTGCAAAACATGACTTAGTACTTGGTGGCAAAACCCTTGTTGGCAATCACAGAGGTCAGACGTTTCTTGTAGTTGGACACCAGGTTTGCACACATCTCAGGAGGGATTTTGTTCCACTCCTCTTTGCAGATCTTCTCCAAGTCATTAAGGTTTCGAGGCTGACGTTTGGCAACTCGAACCTTCAGCTCCCTCCACAGATTTTCTATGGGATTAAGGTCTGGAGACTGGCTAGGCCACTCCAGGACCTTAATGTGCTTCTTCTTGAGCCACTCCTTTGTTGCCTTGGCCGTGTGTTTTGGGTCATTGTCATGCTGGAATACCCATCCACGACCCATTTTCAATGCCCTGGCTGAGAGAAGGAGGTTCTCACCCAAGATTTGACGGTACATGGCCCCGTCCATCGTCCCTTTGATGCGGTAAAATTGTCCTGTCCCCTTAGCAGAAAAACACCCCCAAAGCATAATGTTTCCACCTCCATGTTTGACGGTGGGGATGGTGTTCTTGGGGTCATAGGCAGCATTCCTCCTCCTCCAAACACGGCGAGTTGAGTTGATGCCAAAGAGCTCAATTTTGGTCTAATCTGACCACAACACTTTCACCCAGTTCTCCTCTGAATCATTGGCAAACTTCAAACGGGCCTGTATATGCTTTCTTGAGCAGGGGGACCTTGCGGGCGCTGCAGGATTTCAGTCCTTCACGGCGTAGTGTGTTACCAATTGTTTTCTTGGTGACTATGGTCCCAGCTGCCTTGAGATCATTGACAAGATCCTGTCGTGTAGTTCTGGGCTGATTCCTCACCTTTCTCATGATCATTGCAACTCCACGAGGTGAGATCTTGCATGGAGCCCCAGGCCGAGGGAGATTGAGTTATTTTGTGTTTCTTTCATTTGCGAATAATCGCACCAACTGCTGTCACCTTCTCACCAAGCTGCTTGGCGATGGTCTTGTAGCCCATTCCAGCCTTGTGTAGGTCTACAATCTTGTCCCTGACATCCTTGGAGAGCCATTTGGTCTTGGCCATGGTGGAGAGTTTGGAGTCTGATTGATTGATTGCTTCTGTGGACAGGTGTCTTTTATACAGGTAACAAGCTGAGATTAGGAGCACTCCCTTTAAGAGTGTGCTCCTAATCTCAGCTCATTACCTGTATAAAAGACACCTGGGAGCCAGAAATCTTTCTGATTGAGAGGGGGTCAAATACTTATTTCCCTCATTAAAATGCAAATCAATTAATAACATTTTTGACATGCGTTTTTCTGGATTTTTGTTGTTGTTATTCTGTCTCTCACTGTTCAAATAAACATACCATTAAAATTATAGACTGATCATGTCTCTCAGTGGGCAAACGTACAAAATCAGCAGGGGATCAAATACTTTTTTCCCTCACTGTATTAATGTACAGTTGGTCAGTCTGTGTGAACTAATGTATTCGGAATACACTATTTGAATATATTATGACATATGAACTCTTATTGGCATGACTGCTCAAGGGACATTATGTTGCCAAAGCTGTGGAGCCAATAATGAACTCCATTGATCGCAGTCAGCCGTTGAAGGATATTGATAGCTGACTGTCAAGGAACCAGTCCTATACTCCCTCTCTGTCTGTCTGTCTCTCTCGCTCTCTCTCTATATCTCCCCCCCCCCCTCCCCTCGCTCTCCCTTTCCCCCTTCCTCCTTCCCTCTTTCGCTCGCTCTCTCTCTATCAGGAGGTGGACCACCGTTGGGCGGAGTACCAGTCTCGTTTCTCCACACTGCTCCAGTGGAGCCGACAGCACACGGCCCTCATGGCCAACAAGAACTTCCCACTGAACCCTGTGGAGCTCAAGGTGAAGAGGGAGGGATGGAAATGGTGATGGAGAGAATAAAATAGGGAGAATGAAAGAAGAGAATGGAGGAGAAGGAAGGATAGGTAGAAAGAGAGGGAGGCAATGGATATAAGGGGGTGAGGGAGAGCGGGACAGGATGTGGGTAATCTCAGAATAGGAGTGCTGATCCAGGATCAGTTCCGCACTTTAGCTCAGCACTACTACTCTGAGACGCTTTATGAATACGGGCCCGGATAACTAGGAATGCTTTTCTGCTTGATGTAAAATGACTGTCTATTATTGACATCGAACCTTTTGTCAATACCCGATCACTGTCCCACAGGCACTTTACAATGAGTACGTCCATTTCAAAGAGACAGAGATCCCTGCCAAGGAGATGGAGAAGAGTCGCATAGAACACCTCTACAAACTGCTGGAGGTAAGAGATGGAGGGAGGAGGAAAGAGAGACTTTTGATTTCTAAAACATATTGAGACGTCTCGATGACGACAAGCATTATAAAATGTCAGCAGAAACTGCAAACCTATGTTGATGGTACAGACCGATTTACCATCAGAAAGACTGAACGACATACCCAGGCAGATACTAAAGTATCATTACCCTGAGAACACAGCCTCATTTCAACATCAAATCATATTATGGCATATTAGGCTGGCATGAGTCTTGTAGACAACTGAAACTCATAAACTCAATGACCAACGAGGGCGATGGAGAGAGCTAGATTAAAGGATATGAAGAGGTGACCTGGTTTCTGCCACCACGAGCGGGCCACACTGTGCATCATGAGTCCCTCAGGGGTACTCTCTGTGTGTGTGTGTGTGTGTGTGTGTGTGTGTGTGAGAGAGTGATCGAACACTCTGTTCTCTGCACCAGGCCATTTCAACCCCATGCCACTGCCTTGAGACAACAAACTATAATTCCTCCATTTCCCCTCGGTTCTACTTTCCCATGACTCACAACCCCAAGCATCCCAAACGTTTATACTTCAAGACCTCGGAGAGATTTGGGTCCTTTGCACTCGAAATCATGTACTTTGCCAACGAAATTGATAATTTATAATGTACTGCATATTTAATTATTTTTATATTGTATGTAAAAGTAAAGAATATATGTAGGCATGCAGTGCATTCGGAAAGTATTCAGACCCCTTCACTTTTTCCACATTGTTACGTTACAGCCTTATTCTAAAATGGATTAAATAAAACGTTTTACTCATCAATCTACACACAATACCCAATAATGACAAAGGAAAAATTTAAAAAAGTGTATTTACATAAGTATTCAGACCCTTTGCTATGAGACTCGAAACTGAGCTCAGGTGCATCCTGTTTCCATTGATCATCCTTGATGTATCTATAACTTGATTGGAGTCCACCTGTGGTAAATTCAATTGATTGGATGTGATTTGGAAAGGCACACACCTGTCTATATAAGGTCCCACAGTTGACAGTGCATGTCAGAGCAAAAACCAAGCCATGAGGTCGAAGGAATTGTCCGTGGAGCTCCGAGACAGGATTGTGTCGAGGCACAGATCTGGGGAAGGGTACCAAAAAATGTCAGCAGCATTGAAGGTCCCCAAGAACACAGTGGCCTCCATCATTCTTAAATGGAAGAAGTTTGCCTCATTCTAGAGCTGGCCGCCCCGCCAAACGGAGCAATCGGGGGAGAAGGGCCTTGGTCAGGGAGGTGACCATGAACCCAGAAGGGTAACCATCTCTGCAGCACTACACCAATCAGGCCTTTATGGTGGAATGGCCAGACGGAAGCCACTCCTCAGTAAAAGGCACATGACAGCCTGCTTGGAGTTTGCCAAAAGACACCTGAATGCCAAGCGTCACGTCTGGAGGAAACCAGGCACCGCTCATCACCTGGCCAATACCATCCCTACAGTGAAGCATGGTGGTGGCAGCGTCATGCTGTGGGGATGTTTTTCAGCGACAGGGACTGGGAGACTAGTCAGGATCGAGGGAAAGATGAACGGAGCAAAGTACAGAGAGACCCTTGATGAAAACCTGCTCCAGAGCACTCAGGACCTCAGACTGGGGCAAAGGTTCACCTTCCAACAGGACAACGACCCTAAGCACACAGCCAAGACAAGTCTCTGAATGTCCTTGAGTGGACCAGCCAGAGCCCAGACTTTAACCTGATCTAACATCTCTGGAGAGACCTGAAAATAGCTGTGCAGCAACGCTCCCCATACAACCTGACAGAGCTTGAGAGGATCTGCAGAGAAGAATGGGAGAAACTCCCCAAATACAGGTGTGCCAAGCTTGTAGCGTCATACCCAAGAAGACTCAAGGCTGTAATCGCTGCCAAATGTGCTTCAACAAAGTACTGAGTAAAGTGTCTGAATACTTGTGATGTTTCAGTTTTTTATTATTATTAATACATTTGCAAACATTTCTAAAAACCTGGTTTTGCTTTGTCATTATGGGGTATTGTGTGTAGCTTGATGAGGAAAACCCCCAATTTAATCGATTTTAGAATAAGGCTGTAACGTAACAAAATGTGGAAAAAGTGAAGGGGTCTGAGTACTTTCTGAATACACTGTATGTATTATAGAGGTTACAGTTATATGTGTGTGTTTGTGTTCCCCAGGTATGGATGGAGTTTGGGCGCATCAAGCTGCCCCAGGGCCTGCACCCCAATGACCTGGAGGAGGAGTGGGGCAAACTGATCCTGGAAATGCTGGAGAGAGAGAAGGCCCTGCGGCCCGCTGTAGAGAGGTCAGCACACAGAGACCATAACCCTGACCTTAACCCTTACTACTGCTGCTAGTGTTTGAGTTTGTTTACATCAGGAGCTATAGAGAGAGAAGGCCCTGCAGCTCGCTGTGGGGAGGTCAGCAGCACAGACATACTTAACCCTATAACTAACCATAACCTTAAAGCTGGAATCCTTAATGGTGAAACAGCCAAGTCCGTCTGCAGTTTTAGAACAAAAAAGAAGTTAATGCAAACAACAAACACTGTTTCTTCCCCTCTGACATCATTGCACATGCGATAAAAGAGCATAATATGTTGAGCTTTTTTTTCCACCATGCTGCACAACGGTCCTCAGCTCGGGAACAAAAACAATAAAAACGGTGGTTGGGCGGCCAGTGGCGCCGTTCCCCCCTACTGCAGAATTCGTCTTTAACCCAAATACTTATTTTTGAGCTAGAGTTTGTTTATACCAGTAGTTATGGAAAGGGAAGGCCCTGCGGTTCGCTGTAGAGCACTCTAACCTAACCCTGACACTGTATTACAGACTTCACTTAGGGCAACATCTTCATGGTGCATGAGCACAGATCTCTGCACAAAACACAGTACATCTCATAATAATCAGGTGTTTTCACACTGATTTTAATTTGCACATATCTGTACTCTGTTGTATTGTGAATTGTTGTCCTGATCTTGATACTTTAGTACTTTAGTCTTAAAATTCAATAGGCCTAGAACTTGTTTACCTGGAAGATGTTTTTAGGTTGTTTTTCAACTATTTGTTACGGTTGTACAGTAAACACATTCCATAGACACTGGCTGCATATGAAATGGCACCCTATTCCCTATATAGTGCACTACTTTTAACCAGGGCCTGGTCAAAAGTAGTGCACTGTATAGTAAATAGGGTGCCATTTCGGACGCACAAAATGAATGTTTTGAGCTTGTTGACACTCTGTGACACTGTGCTGATACTGTGCGTCTCCCTCCAGACTGGAGTTATTGCTGCAGATGGCCAATAAGATCCAGAACATGGCCCTGGACTGTGAGGAGAAACTCACCCTGGCCAAGAACACACTACAGGCCGTGAGTGATGCTATCCCTGTCTCTCTTTCTCTCTCTCTCGTCTTCAATGAGGACTTGCTTATCTGAGTTTTTTTCAATTTCCATTATATCGGAGCTATGTGCCTTTTTCACTGTACTTCACCATCTCTCCCTTTTCCCTCCTCTTTGTCTTCTTTTCACACCATGTCTTCTCACTCCTCATCAGGACATGTCCCAGGTGGAGAGTGGCGAGGCGGTGCGTTGTGAGAGGGAGCTGGGGGTGTACCTGCAGGACTGTGAGGCTCTGATCAGACAGCTCAACCTGGACCTCCACATCCTCCGAGACGAGAAGTACTACCAGGTGGAGCAGCTCGCCTTCAGGTCAGTGGAGGGAGAGGGGGTGGTTATACTTAGGCTTGGTTATACTGTGTGCGTCCAGTATGGTCCTCTGCAGCTCAGTTGGTAGAGCACAGTGCTTGCAACTCCAGGATAGTGGCTTTGATTCCCGCTGGGGCGACCCATATGTCAAATGTATGCATGCATAGACTGTAAGTCACTTTGGATAAAAGCGTCTGCTAAATGGTATATACAGTTGAAGTCGGAAGTTTACATACACTTAGGTTAGAGTCATTAAAACTGTTTTTTCAACCACTCCACTAATTTCTTGTTAACAAACTATAGTTTTGGTAAGTCAGTTAGGACATCTACTTTGTGCATGACACAAGTAATTTTTCCAACAATTCTTTACAGACAGATTATTTCACTTATAATTCACTGTATCACAATTCCAGTGGGTCAGAAGTTTACATACACTAAGTTGACGGTGCCTTTAAACAGCTTGGAAAATTCCAGAAAATGATGTCATGGCTTTAGAAGCTTCTGATAGGCTAATTGACATCATTTGAGTCAATTGGAGGTGTACCTGTTGATGCATTTCAAGGCCTACCTTCAAACTCAGTGCCTCTTAGCTGGACATCATGGAAAAATCAAAAGAAGTCAGCCAAGACCTCCACAAGTCTGGTTCATCCTTGGGAGTATTTTTCAAACGCCTGAAGGTACCAAGTTCATCTGTACAAACAATAGTACGTAAGTATAAACAACATGGGACCACGCAGCCGTCATACTGCTCAGGAAGGAGACGCGTTCTGTCTCCTAGAGATGAATGTACTTTGGTGCGAAAAGTGCAAATCAATCCCAGAACAACAGCAAAGGACCTTGTGAAGATGCTGGAGGAAACCACCGTAAAACGTGTCCTATATCGACATAACCTGAAAGGCCGCTCAGCAAGGAAGAAGCCACTGCTCCAAAACCACCATAAAAAATGTCATACTACGGTTTGCAACTGCACATGGGGACAAAGATCGTACTTTTTGGAGAAATGTCCTCTGGTCTGATGAAACAAAAATAGAACTGTTTGGCCATAATGACCATCGTTATGTTTGGAGGAAAAAGGGGGGTCTTGCAAGCCGAAGAACACCATCCCAACCGTGAAGCACGGGGGTGGCAGCATCATGCTGTGGGGTTGCTTTGCTGCAGGAGGGACTGGTGCACTTTACAAAATAGATTGCATCATGAGGAAGGAAAATGATGTGGATATATTGAAGCAACATCTCAAGACATCAGTCAGGAAGTTAACGCTTGGTCGCAAATGGGTCTTCCAAATGGACAATGGCCCAAGCATACTTCCAAAGTTGTGGCAAAATGGCTTAAGGACAACAAAGTCCAAGGTATTGGAGTGGCCATCACAAACTGAAAAAGCATGTGTGAGCAAGGAGGCCTACAAACCTGACTCAGTTACACCAGCTCTGTCAGGAGGAATGGGCCAAAATTCACCCAACTTATTGTGGGAAGCTTGTGGAAGGCTATCCGAAACATTTGACCCAAGTTAAACAATTTAAAGGCAATGCTACCAAATACTAATTGAGAGTATGTAAACTTCTGACCCACTGGGAATGTGATGAAAGAAATAAAATCTGTGATGATAGGGATTGTAATATTAAATAACATTTATAGTAAGTATAGTATTTTATAAAAGGATAAAACGACATAACAAGCAGAATAATACATCTTTAAATACAAATAATTAGAACATGGCTTTTTTGGCGGGAGGTTGTTGTTTTGGCGGATGGTTGTTGTGGTTGGTCCTGTGTTCTCTCTGGCGTCCTTTCCCCCTTGCGGCAGATGTGGATGCGGGTGCGTTTGCACGCTCGGCCCATTTCTTCCGCAGTCAACCATGTGGTGTGCATTTTTGTGTTTGAAAAGGTGCGGCGTTAAGTGAGTGAGAGGGGAAATGGTTGCATATCCCAGAGCCGACCGGGGGTCTATAAGCAGGGGTAGTGAGAGAGAGCTTTCAATTTTGTGTAGATGAGGGATATACATTTTTAAATATAGTATACATCTAATCTAATTTTTCATTGTCCTATCATGATGGAAAGATCCCTAACCCTATAACCTAGACACCCACCTGAGCGACCCATACACCAAAGAGAAGTTCCCATCTCTTTTATGGACCTGCTGTGAGTATGCAGCCTAAACAGAGAAATAAATGCGGTCAGAGACCTACTTGAGCAGCACCGCCCCCTCAAGATTCTGAGCCTGCCTGGCAGGGTTGGTCCTACAAAGCCAGAGCCCCCTGATGGGAGAGCATAATATACAAGGAAATTCTCAAAGCTGCTAATGAGAACCTTGACGACCTTTTACCTAGCCGGTGGGGATTCCGGTGGGGTACGCCCACCCAGGTAGTGGCAGTGCTGGCAACACTGGCTGCAGTAACCCATGGGGAGGGGGTCACACTCGGACAATCAGAGAGGGGGTTTATCATTGTGGCCCAGGTGGCACAAAATAATCAAAGGTCTGACCGCACGGAGATGCTTGGGAAAATGGTTACAACAGGGGATCAGAGTGTTTGTGTCTCAGGTGAAGAGGGTGGATCTGATATCCATCACCTAGGACTTGACATAGATTAAGTAGATTAATCAAATCTCACATTGTTATCAATTTCTGCTCAATCTGCATGCTTTCTCAATCAGCTTTAACTGTATGTGCACTCGTAAATCAAGTTATTTCTCGAGTTGGGCTCTGGGATATAACAGCCGTTGAGTATCTGATTTTTTGGTGGATTGTGGAGGAGGGGGGTTGAGTGTGTTGGAGTATGTGAGTATGTGCGTGTGTGCTTGTCTGGCATCTGTTGTGGGGGGTGGGATGTTGGGGGGGAGGGGGGTATGGGATGGACCACGGGAATTATTTGCTAGGATAATAATTGCTTGTCAATTAATTAAATGTAATACAATGGCAATCCGGGTTATATGTTAGAATCCTACGCGTGAACTGCCGACATTATTACGCATATTAATTGCAATTCAAGACAATATTATTATGGTGGGGGATTATAATACTGTTTTAAATAGCTCAATGGACCGTAAAGGAAATCACACCACAAACAATCACCCACATGCTGTTAAGGAAATTGTGAATGTCATGGATACATTAGAACTAGTAGATATATGGAGGCTTAAATATACTGATCTAGTGAGATATACATGGCGGAGACTGAATCAAGCTAGTCGTCTTGACTTCTTTCTTATCTCATTCTCGTTGGCACCAAAAGTAAAAAAAAGTGTTGATAGGGGACAGAATGCGGTCGGACCATCATATAATAGGCATATACATTACTCTTACTGAATTCCCACGTGGGCGAGGATATTGGAAATTTAATCAAAGCCTATTGGATGATAATTTATTTATAATTAGAACAAAGGAATTTATAACTGACTTTTTCCAACATAACATAGGTACAGCGAATCCCCTTATTGTATGGGACACCTTTAAATGTGCCTTTAGAGGCCATGCAATTCAGGACTCATCTCGAAAACAAAAGCAATTTAGGTCAAAAGAGTTTATACTAAGAAAGGAAATAGAAAGTCTAACAGAACAGATAGATGGCAATAAAAACTGTAACATAGAGGCTCAGAATAAATTAGAGGGAAAACAAAAAGAAACTTATTCAAGAAAGATCAAGTGTAATATATTATAGAAATAAAGCAAACTGGATGGAATATGGGGAAAAATGCACAAAATTCTTTTTTAATCTTCAACATAGGAATGCTACCAAAAATAACTTAATGAAACTGGTTACAATTGACGGAGTCACCCATAATTCACCAAATGATATTTTGAAGGAAGAAACAAAGTACTTTAAGCATATGTTTTCTTTTCAGTCGCCTCCATCTCCTCTAACTGAAGCTAATTGTAGAGATGTTTTTTCTATTGATAATGTCAAATTAACAGCCACACAGAGACTCATGTGAAGGTGAAATTACAGAGGAGGAACTTCTGGATGCAATTAAATACTTTAAGTCTGGGAAAACTCCAGGGTTGGATGGCATACCAGTCGAGGTATACCAAACCTTTTTTGATATACTAAGAGGACCGTTATTAGCATGTTTTAACCACTCCTATGTAAATGGTAGATTATCTGACACTCAAGAAGAAGATCTCATTATTACTGAAACAGGATACAAGTGGAAAATATAAAGATCCAGTCCATTTACAAAATTGGAGGCCCCTTACACTTCAGTGTTGTGATGCAAAAATCCTAGCAAAATGTATAGCGCATAGAATTAAAAAGGTATTGTCGGATATTATTCATTCTAATCAGACAGGTTTTTTACATGGAAGATACATTGGAGATAATATAAGGCAAGTATTGGAAACAATAGAACACTATGGAAAATATGGGAAACCAGGCCTGCTATTCATAGCAGACTTCGAAAAGGCATTTGATAAAGTTCGACTGGGGTTTATATATAAATGCATGGAGCATTTCAATTTTGGAGAATCTCTTATAAAATGGGTCAAAATCATGTATCGTAACCCTAGGTGTAAAATAGTAAATAATGGCTATTTCTCAGAAAGTTTTAAACTGTCAAGAGGAGTGAAACAAGGTTGTCCACTATCGGCATATCTATTTATTGTGGCCGTTGAGATGTTAGCTATTAAAATCAGATCCAATAATAATATCAGAGGATTTAGAAATACAGGGCTTAAAAACAAAGGTGTCATTGTACGCTGATGATTCATGTTTTCTTTTAAATCCACAACTAGAATCCCTCCACAGCCTCATAGAGGATCTAGATACATTTTCTAACTCTCTGGATTATAACCAAATTATGACAAATGTACTATATTACGTATTGGATCACTAAAAAATACAATTTTTACATTACCATGTAGTTTACCAATAAAATGGTCTGATGGTGATGTGGATATACTCGGAATACATATCCCAAAGGAAATAAATGATCTCACTTCAATAAATTTTAATAGAAAGTTAGCAAAAATAGATAAGATCTTACTACCATGGAAAGGAAAATACCTGTCAATTTGTGGAAAAATCACCCTGATTAACTCTTTAGTATTATCCCAGTTTACCTATTTGCTTATGGTCTTGCCTACGCCTAGCGAACAGTTTTTTAAATTATATGAGAAAAAAATCATCTCCCAAATATCACTATTTCTAAAACAAGCCATAGAAAGTTGGTTGCAATTTCAATTTAATCCTCCAGAAACGACAGAACAAATAATGCAACAAATATTGTGGTTAAATTCAAATATACTAATTGACAAAAAACCTTAATTTTTTGACAGAATGTTTAAAAAAGGTATACTCTTCGTAAATGATATAATCGGTAGGACTGGTGGAGTTATGTCGCACATGCAGCTAACAAAAACATATGGAAATGTCTGCTCTACCCAAAATTACAACCAAATAATTGCAGCCTTACCGCAAAAGTGGAAGAGGAAAGTGGAAGGGGGAGAAAGTAAGGAACTTGTCTGTCGGCCTTGCATTAAAGAACATAATTGGTTAAGGAAAACTGTGATAAATAAAAAAAGTATATCAGTTTCACTTAAGGACCAAAGGATTGACAGCCGTCCCATATAGATTGCAAAATAGTTGGGAAGAGATCTTTGACGTACCGATCCCATGGCATAGTGTTTATGAACTGACACGCAAAACGACACCGGATTCAAAAATGTGTATCTTTCAATTTAAATTATTATATAAAATTCTTGCTACCAATAGAATGTTATTTATATGGGGGATACAATCTTCCCAGCTCTGCAGATTTTGCTGTGAAGAGACAGAATCATTAGATCATTTGTTTTGGTTCTGTCCATTTGTAGCTTGTTTTTGGACACAGGTCCAGGAATGGCTAAAGAATTGCAATATTTACCTGGAGCTAACCTTGCAGATAGCATTATTGGGTGATCTGAAAAGTCATAGTCAATCGATCAATAATATAATAATACTTTTAGCAAAAAAAATTATTTTTTATTCACAATCTGTAGAAGCAATGAGAATAGAAAGGTTCAGAACTTTTGTAAAACATCACAGTACGGTTGAAATATATATGGCAAATAGAAATCCTATATGGATGGTGTTAAGAGATAGATGGGAGGTATTGAATAGAGTTGAAGGATGGGACTAATAACAAATAACAACAAATAATAACAAAGATAGCTAATAATGTAAGCGTACTGTGTCCATAATAAGTATATAGGTTGTATGTTGGGATCTTTTGGGAAAGAGCACAGTTAGAAAGATATGGCATATAGAAGCAAACCGGATGGACATCATGAAAATGATCGGAGAGGTTGAGAGTAGAAGAAGTTCAGGAGCAAAATATATATATATATATATATAATATAATTATTGTAAAATTAACTGTGTCCATAAGGTGTAGATAGTAAGTATAGACCGGAAGTAGAGGCCTGGGCATTGTTGTTCACTAATTTACTCCAAGTAGGGAAAGGATGGCGGGGTTGAAAAGTAATAAAGGGGAGTATATATATAAAAAACATGGGGGATTGGAAGTGATGCAGACAATTACATTGATAGAAGATACAATCTATCTGCAATATTAAGCTGATCCATCCCCCCAAAGGAAAAAAAAATAAAAAAGGAAAAAATAAATAAAATAAAATAAAAGCTGAAAAAATTATTTCTCTCTACTATTATTCTGACATTTCACATTCTTAAAATAAAGTGGTGATCCTAACTGACCTAAGACAGGGAATGTTTATTAGGATTAAATGTCAGGAATTGTGAAAAACTGAGTTTAAATGTATTTGGCTAAGGTGAATGTAAACTTCTGACTTCAACTGTATATATATTTATATTTATTTTTTATTATATTATTAGGCTTGGTTAAACTGTATGAACCACAAGCATCAGTGTTGTAAATGTGACACCACAACAGTTCTGTGTTTTGAATAAAGAGATGTTCTGTGGAGCAACAGTGGAGGCCCACTGTTGGGTCATGACTAATTCACTTATGGTTATCTTCTGAAGGGTAGGTTGACTGTTTTTGTGTATTCGGTGTGTCACAAGAAAAAGGTGTCTCTTTTTTAATATTTTGGGGGATTTTAACACATTTGTTTCTCTCCAGAGTGTCCTGTCTAAATGAGGAGCTGGTCTCTCTACGGCTCCAGTGCTCCAGCATCTACAGGAAGGGCCACTTCTCCCCAGTGATGGGGGGAGACCGGACGGCCCCGCGGGGGAGCGACAGTGGTTTCTCCCTGTCCACGGGGGCCCAGACCCTGCTGGGGGCAGTGGGGGTGATGGGGTCAGCCCTGCTCAGGAGACCCATGTCCCGCTCTCAGCTGGTGGCAATGTCATCCTCGGAGGACGAGGGGAGTCTCCGGTTCATCTATGAGCTCCTGGGATGGGTGGAGGAGACACAGGTAAGAAAGAAGGGGTGTAGGTAGATGGAGGGGAGGGGGATGGAGAGATGGAGGGAGGGGGATTGATAGTTGGAGGGAGGGAGCTGGGGAGGGAGGGAGGGATGGATGGACGGGAAAAGGGATCCATGAGTAGAACTGATTGTGTATGTGTGTTAGGACATTCTGGAGCGTGCAGAGTGGGGGGCAGACCTGCCCTCTGTAGAGCAGAACCTCCAGGACCACCACAACATCCACACTGCCGCGGAGGATCTACTGCACAGCCTGAAGGAGGCACGGAACTACCAGGTACGTGCGCACGTGAAAACACGCACGCACACTAATACATTCTAAAACACACATTCTTAGACACTTCAACATCCACTGTACATGCTAATACATATACTGTAAGTAGACATTAACATACACTGAAAAGACCTGTGCATATAACATGACACTCACAAACCTAGTAGAAAGACACCGATAATGCTTTATTAAGGCTTTCTCATCTCTTCCTCCTCAGACGAAAGTGTCTCGTAACTTCAGGAGCAGTTATTCTGACACTCTGGCCAAGCTCGAGCACCAATACTGCAAACTGCTGGTGAGTGGGAGGACTTTTTTCGTCTGTGAATGTGTCTGAATGTGTTTATGTAGGGTGTGTGTGTGTGTGTGTGCACCCCATTGTTTCCCAGTGTGCCCACATTCTCAGTTAATCCCATCAGGGTGTGACTGAGCTAGCTAAATGCTCAGAGAAGCTAGCGAGCGTTAAGCAAGACAGAGTGCAGCCTTCAGAAGCACCAGCTTCTACCATATAGCCCCTTGATCAGCCCTGAAGAAATAAATGGATTCTCCACAGCAGGGAGTTCACGTGTGTGTGTGTGTGTGTGAGAGAGAGAGAGAATGTGTTTGCCTCTGAAATAACCTAAAACTCCTCGTAAATGTGTATAGAGTTAATACCTAGTAACATTACTTCATCCCATCCTGTCTTCACAGGAAAACTCATCATGGCGTCTGCGCTGCCTGGAGAGCCTGCATGCGTTTGTGTGTCGCTGTACAGAGGAACTGATCTGGCTCAACGAGAGAGAAGAGGAGGAACTGGCCTACGACTGGAGCCACAACAATACCAACGTCAACGCCAAGAAAGAACTATACGCCGTGAGTGGACAGGGATAGATACACCACATACACACACACACACACACACACACACACACACACACACACACAGAATACACATTTTGTAGACCGTTTTACACAGATATTCCCCTGTGTGCGCTTCTGAATGCTCTGTCATCCTCTCTCAGGAAATGAGGTCAGAGCTGGAGGAGAAACAGGAAGTGATGCATTCTCTGCAGGAAACAGCTGACCGTCTCTGTCAGGAGAACCACCCGGCCAAACAGACAGTGGAGGTGAGGTTGCCTAGCAACAAAGCCGTTCAAGGGCCTTTCAAAATATTGGCTTTCCATCTACGGTACTTGTCAGTACAAACAGTGCTGCAATCGATGTTCCCCTGAAAATAAGATTGTCAGTATATTTTGTAGTTAATGTTTGGGCTGTAGAGCTTATGTGATTCAAATAAGGAGCTTGAGAAATGCATATTCAGGAAGCAACACATGGACTACCCTAACATTCACCCCCCCCCCCCCCCCCCCCCCTGCCCTTCCATTTCCCCAGGCGTACAGTGCAGCGCTGCAGACCCAGTGGCAGTGGGTGCGTCAGCTGTGTGTGTGTGTGGAGCAGCACCTCAAAGACAATACTGCCTACTTCCAGGTAGGAGATTTGAGCAAAGCTTAGCCCAAGTCCCTTTAACACATTATATCTTATACTATTACAGTATACCTGTAATACCCATCTGGTCCGTTACACAATGTCAATTGTTTGTTGCTTTTCACGTAGACACCGTCATAAAAGATCAAGATGAAATGAAATGTACTTTAATTGCCTACATTTAGTTAGTCTATTTACTAACTATCTATGTTTTGACTTGCCCTTAATTGGGAGTGTAAAGCTATTTAATCATCTAAAACCTTGCATGAAAGGTTCAATAAAAAGAGCTGGAATACTAGATAAAGTATTGGATATCTCATAGGGTCGTGCAGCTGTGGATGGATTATATATAAGCCCCTATGCTAATCTCTGTGTTTTACATTGTTATTGCCTCCTGTCAGTTTGTGAGTGACGCACGGGACTGCGAGACGTACCTGCGTCAGCTACAGGACACCATAAAGAGACAGTACACTTGTGACAAGAACAGCAGGCTGGGCAAGCTGGAGGACCTGCTACAAGACTCTATGGTACATTCACTTATTATTCACAAGACTCTATGGTACATTCACTTATTATTCACAAGAGTCTATGTTACTTATGGTGCTGTTGGATCAAACGCACTCAAACTTGTTAAACCAAACCTGATCAAATGCACCTCAATTCCTCCACAAATTCGTCAAAACACCTACATTCCTGCTAATTCCTCTACTATTGCATGTGACCTATTTAGCCAAACAGAGTTGGCTCTAATCATTTAGGGATCTGCCAGTGAAAAGCTTAGGCACATGATTATAGCTTATCCACATTTAAGACAATAAGCTACCGGTAACTGCCAAAATAAAGGAAATACAATATAAAGTGTCTTAATAGGGTGTTGGGCCACCACGAGCCAGAACAGCTTCAATGCACCTTGGCATAGATTCTACAAGTGTCTGGAACTCTATTGGAGGGATGCGACACCATTCTTCCTAGAAAACGCTGTTTCAGGCACCCCAGAATCTTCCATAAGTATTCAATTGGGTAGAGATCTGGTAACTGAGACACACACACACACACACAGAGCATATGTTTTACTGTCCTTGTGGGGGCCTAAAATTGATTTCCATTCAAAATCCTATTTTCCCTAACCTTAACCCCTAACCCTAAACATAACCCCTAACCCTAATTGTAAACCTAACCCCTAAGCCTAAAATAGCCTTTGTCCTAATGGGGACCGGTGAAATGTCCTCATGAGGAAGAATTTTGTTGAGACTTTGGGGATTTCCGGTATCCACAAGGATAGTAATACAACCCCCTATGCTCCTTTGAGACCCCCTTTCAAAGTCATTGAGAACTCTTCTTCTAGCCATGGTAGCCAAAATAATGGGCAACTGGGCATTTTTATCTATGACCCTAATCATGATGGGATGTTTCAGTTTCAATAACTCAGGAACCACACCTGTGTGGAAGCACCGGCTTTCGCTAAACTTTGTATCCGTCATTTACTCGTGTTTCCATTATTTTGGCAGTTAACTGTACATCACATTGACACTCCTGACTCATTTAGTAACAGTATCTACTGCTAGCTAACAACTACAGTGTTAGCTACAGCAGTAGCATGAGGCTAATGTCATGTTAATACTGTACCCGTTAGCTAGCTACCTCATCTAGTCCCACAGCTGCTTTAGGCTGTCTCAGTCTAGCGAGCGCTAATCTATTCTAGTGTACCTTTGCTGATTCACGGCCCCTGTGGCGCATAGCCACTCTGCCACTGCCATGCCCACCTGACACACAACAGATGGCAAACTGGGAGCGGGCACGGCTCCACGGGCCTGAGCACTGTGAGCAGCGGGCATATCCTCTCTGGGCATAGAGATGAGAGGGTGACATGTTTACACTGATACAAAATATTTTGAAAGTATGACTACGTGGTTTATATCGAGGAGGGAATGGATGGTCACTCAGGATATATACATGTAGATGTGTTTTGCTGCGGTCATGAGTGTTTTTGTTTGTTTGTTGTGTCTCTGTGTGCTAGCCTAATTTCAAGATACCAAATTATAAGCACATCGCTGCGCTCAGTTTGAGCCAGCATGCGTGTGTTTGGTGTGAAAGGGGGTATTAAGCGCTGGGCGGTTGATTAAATTTCCAGTGCCATATGTGTTCTAGTGTGTGCGTGTTCTAACTGGGGGAAGATTAAACAGGACTTTGACAGATGCCTCAATCGCTGTATTCCATAAAAACAACCACAAAAGCCCTTTATTAGACAGACGCAATGCCTTTATGATTGGCTAACTAATGAAGATACAGTACCTCTACCCATTTTACTCACAATTCATACATTCTTTCGAATAATACAAGGCTTAAGGCACTGGGAGAGCTAAGGGCCAGAGTGAGGGAAGCACTAATATGCTAATAGCATTACACTTCAGAGTTGAATTTTCAATGTTAATTCGGCCTGTGTGAAATTCAGCTCTGAAGTGTAATGCTATTAGCATATTAGTGCTTCTCTCACTCTGGGTCTTAGCTCTCCAAGTGCCTTAAGCCTTTAAACTTTAATGAAGCTTTCTGTCAGGAAGTTAGTCCATATTAATGTATTTCTACATGCCACCATGAGGAGTTAAGCTAACACCTTTTTAATGTTTAATGGCTAGCTTAAATGCTAGTGCTGAGTTAGTTAGCAAACATTGTCACAGTGTCACCAATTGGTGATTGTAAGCTAAGCTAATGGGCCCTATTGCTATGCTATTGAGCTGAGGAGAAATTCCTGCTGTACATGATACATTGTGGTACTGTGGAGTTCAATGTAATCAATATGTATGGAAATGAAAGTAAAATAATAGGAAATGGACTAAAGATTGAAAGGGATATTTTATCATGTAAGACTAGACCTATAGATCTAACACAGTATTACAAAAGCTTACCGCTTTACTGACTGACTGACGGATTGATTGGTTAATTGACACCCTCACTGACCAATGGCTGTACCCTACAGGAGGAGAAGGAGCAGCTGATTGAGTACCGCAGCTCTGTGGCCAGCCTGGTGGGCCGGGCCAAGACGGTGGTGCAGCTCCTCCCCCGCAGCGCCGAGAGCACCCTGGGAAGCACCACACCCATCCGTGCAATCTGTGACTACCAGCAGATAGAGGTTCGGCACCCCTCACCACACCCACACTATCATGACAATACCAGTTTCCTGTTCATTAGGCACCAAACTGAGAAAAACAGACTCACACAAGGAGAGACTGCGTGGACTTGTCTCTCCCCCCCCCCAAAAAAAATACCATTTTCATTTTCTGTTGCAGAACATTTTGAAAACGTTTTCTGTTATGTGCCCTAGTGAATACGACCCAGCTCACTTTACCCTACTTCACTGAACTGTATTCTTCTGCCAATTGTTCAGTCTCTACCCTGCACAACCCCTCTCAGCCCCACCTATACCTTAGCAATCCAATATGGTGCATTTTCAATCAGCTGTCATCATTGGCTGCTTTCGCCATGCCATTGTTGGTATATAGACCCAGTTCATTTGTCAGCTAAAAAAACATGTTTTCAATAGTTGTTTCAATAGCATTTATTATTCAACTATGAATTTAAACTGTGACCCCCACATAGGGTTTTACATTTCCAGTGTTGATTGTAAGATTGCTGCATTAGAGCTGTTGAAATGTTGTTGTTGCAGCCTAGTAGGGCCACTACACGTCACTAGATATCATTATGCTTCTTGAGAACAGATAAAATGTCAGATTTAGGCAGAATGGGCTCAATTAAACTTAGTATTCGTAATCATGTTTTTGACTCATCTTCTACTCAATATTTTTCATAGGGATATTCAAATGGCCTTTCTTAACGGGTCAACTTTATTGCTTTTCCATTATATCATAATGGAAAGGCAACACTCGTTAATAATCCCCTGAAATAGCCCATGGTAGCCACTCCAAAGTCTAGTAATGATTAATGAGGAGAAGAGAATTCCATTTGGCCACTGACACCCCACTCACCTCACACTCACATGTGAAGCCTCTCTATTGCCCGGCCCAAAGTGCTGTGTGATGCTAGCAGAGAAGCTAAAAGCTATGAATTATGAATTTCTCCCACCTGTGCAGACTCAGGCAAAAATCTGAAAATCTGCATTTCCACTCCTGTAGTGTTGCATAGGGACAGGAGGTGGCTCAGAGACAGCTATTTTAGTTTTGCTGTGTGAGTCTCTCTGGGACTGAGACGGTTTGCCCAGTTAGGCGTGTGCAAGGTATCATGACATTCTTGTCAGGTGGAGGTGCAGTGATCACTGCAGGGGGGGGTGTCTCAATAGTCTTGAGTGGCTTCCTCTACTCTCCTTTCCTTCATCTGCACCTACTAGAAACATACACACACTTTTAGATTGCCACCAACTACGGGCCCCTTTAAAGAAAACGCACAACCCGGTCTAAATGACACTATCCCAAAATAATCTTTCTCTCCTATGTCTTCTCCTTTCTCTCCATCCTACCGTTTCCCATTCCTGCCCTCTATCTCTCCCTCACTCCTGCGTCTCTTCCTCTTTCTCCGTTCTTCTCGTGTGTCCGCTGGGCTGTCAAGGCTAACATTCAGGTATTACTGCCAATGTTCTCCTCTCACCTCAGTGCTCAGCTCTAACACGGCACACCGAATACCCCCTGGTTACTCTACGCTCTTATCGACTGATTTAGGATCAGTTTTTCTTTATCTCGGTTGTATTTACGACCTATATGAGCTAAAGGTCCAGCTCAGTTGGTAAGGGTATGAAGTAACCGCACGACTGAACACAGTATCCCAGCTTATTCAGTCAGTGAGACTATTTTAGGCGCAGTCGTAAGCTTTTCTGTACATTTACTTTGCATTATTTCTGTGTGTGTGCGGGGGATGGGGTGAGAGGGGGGTGGGGCAGGGGGTGTTTTAGATGCACAGACCTCGATTTGCTGCGCTATATATTATTATTATTATTATTATTATTATTTTATTTGGATTATTTTTTACTTCGGGACCACACCGTACTATGCCAAATTGAATCTCTTACTGCCCTAGCGCTCTGTATTTGTTGGCCAGATGTCAACAAATATTGTAATGAGTGTGGGCACATGTAGCCATTTTCAGTCCAAGGGATACTGTTATAGTCCCATGGTTCTTAAATGGCTGCTCTATTCAACATGGCACCGTGGTTTAGTTTCTCTTTCAGTTGTTAGGGCTTTTGCTAACCACATTAAACCCATGAACATCTGCATTTGGTTTGTATTATTTGTTTGTTGCCGTAAAACTTAATTTTTCCATTTGTTTTCCCTCTCCCTCCCCTTCTCTCTATATCTATACATCTTCCTCTCCCAATCTTTTCACCTCCTCAACTGTCCACATCTCTCCATATCTTTCTTCATCGATCCCCCCATCTCTTCTCTCCTAATATCTCTCCCATCCTCTCCTCATCTCTCCATCTGTATCTCATCCTCTCCTCATCTCTCCATCTGTATCTCATCCTCTCCTCATCTCTCCATCTGTATCTCATCCTCTCCTCATCTCTCCATCTGTATCATCCCTCTTTTTCGTCTTCCTTCCCATCTCTCTCCTCCAACTCTCTCCCCGCACTCTCTCACCCTCTCTCTCCACCTCCCTCCCTCCCTCACTCCCTCCTGTAGATCACCATCAGCCGAGGTGAGGAGTGTGTGTTGGAGGACAACTCTCAGAGGACTAAATGGAAGGTGATCAGCCCCAGTGGGAATGAGGCCATGGTGCCGTCGGTCTGCTTCACCGTACCACCGCCCAACCAGGAGGCAATGGACACCGCCGGCAGGTACACACACACATAGTACATACACACACATAATAATAATAATAATAATAATAATAATATGCCATTTAGCAGGCGCTTTTATCCAAAGCGACTTACAGTCATGCGGGCATACATTTTTGTGTATGGGTGGTCCCGGGGATCGAACCCACTACCCTGGCGTTACAAGCGCCGGGCTCTACCAGCTGAGCTACAGAGGACCACGAACGTGTGCACACACACACACATAGACACACACACATTCACATATTCATATAAACATATGCACACACGAACAGATCAACACACACACTCACACCTAACCCTGCTGTATATTGAAAGTGTTATTCCAATATGTTCTAGAATGGAGCAGCTGTACCAGAACGTGATGTCTCTATGGCACCAGCTACACGTCAACATGAAGAGTGTGGTCTCCTGGCACTACCTGCAGAAAGACATCAGGACCGTCTCCTCCTGGAGCCTAGACACGGTTTGAAATACTGTTTTAGCTCAATGTGTCAACGTCCAAGTCACAGTACATCTCTATGGTTGACAGAAATATCTTATTGCTGTCGATCTCTCATGTCTGTCTTTAACCACATTTATCTCACATAGCTGTTCAATTTCTTATAGTTTCTTCCAAGCATATGTTTCTCTCTCTCGCCCTCTCTCTTTCTCTCTCGCCCTCTCTCTTTCTCTCTCGCCCTCTCTCTTTATCTCTCGCCCTCTCTCTTTATCTCTCGCCCTCTCTCTTTATCTCTCGCCCTCTCTCTTTCTCTCTCGCCCTCTCTCTCTCTCGCCCTCTCTCTCTCTCTCTCGCCCTCTCTCTTTATCTCTCTTTATCTCTCGCCCTCTCTCGCCCTCTCTCGCCCTCTCTCGCCCTCTCTCGCCCTCTCTCGCCCTCTCTCTTTCTCTCTCGCCCTCTCTCTTTATCTCTCGCCCTCTCTCTTTCTCTCTCGCCCTCTCTCGATTTTCTCATTCTCTCTTTCTTTCTCTCTCTCAAGCTGATATCTCTTATCTCACATGACTTACTTTATGGTGTAATGTCCCTCTGTTGTCATAAGTCTTCCTCTTTCCCCTTCATCTGCTAATATGTTCATATCGACTTCTTACCTATTACCTATGAATAACGTCTTAATGCATGTTAATTAATACACATATCAACATCCATGTTTTTGCACAATGCACTTTAGGGACCACAGTGGAAATAAGTATCTAACTTTATTGTGCTATCCCTGTCATGTTTAAAAAATGGATATACTTTGTGTATATATGCTTTTTTGACTGGCAAATAAAATCAATCAATCACTACTCTTAAATTTAGCTGACGTACACCTCTCTCACCCTAACCCCTCAGGTGCGTTCCCAGCCCCCTGTGGAGAGGGACCAGGCACTGGACCACTTGGAGGCCCACCTGGCTGACTTCCTCTCTGACAGCAAAGAGAGCGCCGTCTTCAACCCCACCGAGAGACGCGAGCTGGAGAGAGACGCCCACACTGCGCAGGAGCACTGCCAGGACCTGCTGGTCAACATGGAGACAGGTAGGTGGACAGATACGGTGTCTCAGTCCCAATTCTCCACCCTTTTCCCTGAAGTGTGCACTTGTTCACTACCGTGCTTGGATTTAAAAGCAGAGGATTGGTGTTGGAGGCCATGCTTCCACAAATCCTTTGGTTTTAAATGCATGAGGGGTAGTGCACATTTCAGGGGAAAGGGTGGGGAATTGGGAGGCAGTGGGGGGTTTGGTTTACTTTTCTCACATATTTACCTATCTTTACTTGCTTGGTAGTATTGAGATTCATCCAAATTATTGATAGTTCACTAAAAAGACGTATGTCTGTTTTGCATGGGGACAGGTAGATTGAAAGAGTGCATCTCCTCAATTACTCGAGTCTTGGCTTCATCCACATTTGGGGCATGAGGGCAACATTGGGGATTCTAATGAAAGGGTTTTGTGATGGTGCGTTGACCCAATTAAGTGGGATGGAAATTCAATTATCTCTCTTGTGTTATCTCCCCCCTCCCGCTCCCCTCTCTCTGTTTACTCTACCCCTTTCTCCACCCCTTCCTCTCTTTTCTCTTTTCATCTACTCTCCCACTCTTTCCACCTTCTCTGTCTCGCTCTCTCTCTCTGTCTCGCTCTCTCTCTCTGTCTCGCTCTCTCTCTCTGTCTCGCTCTCTCTCTCTGTCTCGCTCTCTCTCTCTCTCGCGCGCTCTCTCTCTCTGTCTCGCGCTCTCTCTCTGTCTCGCGCTCTCTCTCTGTCTCGCGCTCTCTCTCTGTCTCGCGCTCTCTCTCTGTCTCGCGCTCTCTCTCTCTGTCTCGCGCTCTCTCTCTGTCTCGCGCTCTCTCTCTGTCTCGCGCTCTCTCTCTGTCTCGCTCGCCCTCTCTGTCTCGCTCGCTCGCTCTCTCTGTCTCGCTCGCTCTCTCTCTGTCTCGCTCTCTCTCTCTGTCTCGCTCTCTCTCTCTGTCTCGCTCTCTCTCTCTCTGTCTCGCGCTCTCTCTCTCTGTCTCGCTCTCTCTCTCTCTCTGTCTCGCTCTCTCTCTCTCTGTCTCGCTCTCTCTCTCTCTGTCTCTCTCTCTCTGTCTCGCTCTCTCTCTCTGTCTTGCTCTCTCTCTGTCTCTCTCTCTGTCTCTCTCTCATCTAGTGGAGAAGGATGAGTCTGTCTCTCGGTCCTACCTGTCAGAGCTCCAGAACATTCAACTGCGTCTGGAGGAGGCGGAGCAAAAGCTGATGCGTGGCATTCAGACTCTGCCCCCTGGTAACCTATCGGGCAACCGCGTCGACAACACTGTTCAAATTGCAGAGCATGAGGTCAGTATTGTGCCACAACCCCATCTGCTGGTCACCAGAGTCCTAGCAGTCTTATTCATCTACCAACGAAAAGGGGACCAGCACCAACTTTATTCAGTTGCTTTCATTTCCTTTCATGTTTCAACTTAGTGCTGTATAATGAATATACAAATCAAGACTAACCCTTATTCCCGGTGTCAGAAGCTGCAGTCGGACCTGGATGGTCTGAGGACCAGTCTTGGTGAGGTGTCGCGGCGCTGTGTGAGTTTCTTTGAGGAGAAACCCACCTCCTCTAGTGTTCCGGTGCTGCGCTCTGAACTCAACCTGGCTGTGGAGAAGATCGACAGACTACACAACCTCTCCTCTGTCCACCTGCACAAGTAAGGAGGCCAAACACACACACACACACTCAAAGTACTCTCTCTTAACCAATATACTAGACTATGTATATTGTGCTTCCACCTTTCTCCCAGGTTGAAGACAGTGGATGTGCTGATGCACAGCTTGCAGGCCGCAGAGAGCCAGGTGAAGAGATACGAGAGCAGGCTGAGTGAGGAGGACATCGTCCCTGCAGACACCAACGCCATCCAGGCCCTACAGGAACAACTGGGGGTAAGAGACTGGCAGATACAATGAAAGACCAACATTAATATCGCCCCAAATTCAGATACTGGCTAGTACATAAAAAAAGTTATTAATGCCCACATAGACATTGCATGGACCAAGATTAGGATTTGTTTGGTAGTGAAAGAAGTGTGTCCGTGTACTGATGTTCTGCGTCCCCCCTCCCCTCCAGAAGTGGCAGTTGGAGCTTGAGGACCAGGAGGGGGTGTTTAGCTCCCTGCGGTCGGAGGTGCAGAAGGCCCGGGAGGCGGGGACTCAGCTGAACAGGCTCCACCCAGAACGCAGCCCGGAGCTGGTGCACTACCAGGAGAGAGCCACCCAGCTCACTGAGAGGTGGGCCGGAGTCAAGAGACAGATGGACACACGGTGAGTGGTGGTGGATGGATGGATGGATGGATGGATGGATGGAGTGAAAGTTAGTCATATAATTTTGATAAAAGTCTTATGTGAAACTTAATCCTTACTCAGTATTTGTACTGTAGGTTTATGCTTAAATTAATATAGTATATCCTTGATGGGGACAGATTAAGAAAACCACCATTCTGGTCAAATGTGAAATCGAGAAGTGCATAGACCAGGGATCATCAACTAGATACCAGCCGCAGGCCAATTCTTTCTTGAGCGGATGGTGAGGGGTCCGGAACATAATAAGAAATAAAAAAATGAGACTGCAAATTGACCGCAAGAAGCCCAAACAGATCTAATATTGAACTAAAACATAATCATTTCAAACCTTGATTACATTTGGGAACATTGTCCTGCGTAGGGTGCCGTCTTTCGGATGGGACGTTAAAACAGGTGTCCTGACTCTGTGGTCATTCAAAATCCCATGGCGCTTATTATAAGAGTAGGGGTGTTCACCCCGGTGTCATGGCTAAATTCCCAACCTTGCCACATTCCATCATGGCCACCTAATCATCCCCCTCATTCCTAATTGGCATATATCACTCCTCACCTCTCCAACTGATCGCTGATGTGTGGTGAGAGTTCTGGCACAAAGATGGTCGCATTGCATCAGAGGTGGGTGCTACACTTTGATGGTAGGTGAGGGGAATTTCACCCTACTATGTAAAGCGCTTTGAGTACCTCAGTAGAAATGTGCTATATAAATCCAATCAATTATTATTATTATTATTATACGATCACTATTATACGATCTCTCTATTATGCGTGGCAATACTTGGGAATAGATTTCTAAAATTCAAATCACTTGATTTGCTCGTGTTTGTACAGTCTTTTATGTTCAACAATGAAAATTCAACAAAAACATATATTTGTATTTATTTATTTTTGCGGGGGGGGGGGGCAAATAATACCACCCTTGGGGTCGCCATGTTGGGGAACCCTGGCATAGACCCACATCACTGATTGGGTACTTTATTGAATGGTATGTGTTTGTGTGTGTGTCTTTCCCCCTTGTGTTCCAGGCGAGCGGAGCTAGAGGCCCTGGGCTCAGTCCTGCAGCAGTACAGAGATGGTCACTCTGCTCTGATCCACTGGATAGAGGAGACCACTGAGAGACAGGAGAACACCCAGCCTGGAAAGACTGACAGCAAAGTCCTGTCTGAACAACTAGCACAACAAACGGTGAGACGGATGGATGGGAAGAGACAGATAGAAAAAGACAGATCGATGGAGACTGAAAGACCGACAGAAAGAGAGTGTGAGAAGGACTACACAGTAGATAGATATTGACCCAGCCATAGAGAAAGTTTAATAGAAAAATGCTAAATGACAAAAAAAAAGAAACAAAAGACTAATGGCTATTGAAACTAATGAAAGGAGCTGGCTGTTATTGAATGACTTCTGTAAATAACATCTATTCTTGTCGACCCGATTCCCTCCTCAGGCATTAGTAGCCGAGATCGAAAAGAACCAGACCAAACTGGACGAGTGCCAAACGCACTCCAAACAGTACTGCACCTCTGTCAAGGTACAGTACCACCTCACTTTGTCATTGTAATGTAAAGATACGTTTTTGGATGATTGGAAAAGGACCCCTAAGTAAGCATTTCAATGTTAGTCTACACCTGTTGTTTACGAACTATGTGACAAATAACATTTCATTTGATGTCCAAAAATATGATGATTCATGCTAGGTGTTTTTCGCAAGTCATACATTTTAAATTGAGTTGGGCTACAAGGTGTACTGGATACCCAATTTCCACACTAAATGTACTATACCAATACAACAACAAAAAATTACAAAAATCAGTTCGTTGTAACGAAGTTACACGTATCCATGTGTCCATCAGGACTATGAGCTGCAGCTGATGACATTCAGAGCCTTTGTGGAGTCGACCCAGAAATCTACTGTGAAGAGGAGGAGGATGCACTCTTCATCAGACGCCATCACACAGGAGGTAAGGAGAGGGAGACGATCGTCACAATGTAATGTGGCTAATGTTTTTATAGAAATATGTGTCAATATCATTGTGTGAAGCCAAAAGCCAAAATATTGATTTGCCATTCCAGTTCATGGATATGCGCACACGCTACACAGCCCTGGTTACCTTGACGACGCAACACGTCAAGTACATCAGCGATGCACTGAGAAGACTAGAGGAAGAAGAGGTATGTCTCGCTCTTTTTTTTCATTCTCTCTGTTCTGGTTTCTTCAACCTTCCTCTGTGTTGGTGGGATTTATTATCTATACCGCCAATACATTTCTATCACGGTGACATGATCCCTGAACCCCCCCCCCCCCAGAAAGAGGTGGAGGAGGAGAGGCAGCAGAGAGTAAGCCAGGTGTCAGAGCTGCTGGGCTGGGTCAAAGGCCTTCAGGGCCCCTCCGCCGAGTCATCCATCACAGCGCAGCAGGTACAGAAATATTAAATGCATTTAGTATATTATGGAATTACATTTTATGCATCTACTGTCTTTCTTCTACCACACTCTCTTAGCCTATAAAAGAAAAATACCAGTGTTTATCACTTTGTTTTAATCATTTGAGTTGTGTTTATAGGCCGTCAGTGAGCAGTTAGCGGCTAAGAAGGAGGAGGTGGCTAAGGCTATCAGGAACACCCAAGTCTTCCTGATGTCTAAACAGGCCAACAAGTAAGTTCAGATTTGTCATACACACATGCATACCACTGTATAAACACACAAAAACTGTATACTCACTCATTAACATCTCACCTTTATCCACACACCACATGCATGTGGCAAGCCCCACCACCACACACACACACACACACACACACACACACAAGTTCAAACTGACAGAAACGTTTGTCCTCTAGGTTGTCCCCAGAGGAACGTGCCCAGGTGACCTCCCAGCTGGATGAGCTGACGGCCACCTACAGCCAGCTGTGTGACCGTTCCTCTGCCCAACTGCAACAGCTGGAACAAGAGCAGGCCAAAGAGGAGCAGAGAAAGGTAGAGCGGATGGAGGGAGGGTGACCGGGAAAGCAAGGGAAGAGAGAGGAGAAGGGAGGTTGCGGCTAAAACCATAAACTCACTTGCGAGTTGCCAATGCGAGCTTACGATATTGCTATTCAAGTGTGTTGCTCACTGACAATGTCTGTCTGCCTATTGTGAATTTGAGGTTCTGAAATTGAATATTTCCTCGAGCTGAGCGTGTTTGTGTGCAAGCGAGAGTATGTCGCATGTTGTGTGTTGCCCGTCACTGTGTGCATTTTTTGACACCCATCATCACCACCATCATCCCCCATACTGAATGTTGTTGACTCATAGACTTGGTTTGGTTTAACAGCCATTTTGTGTAATTGCATGGAGTGAGCTCTCCCTCACTTGCACTCAACAACCCGCTTGCAATCATGTCACCTATCATCATTGCCATCACCATCATCATCAAACACATCTGCTTAATGGCTAATCTATGGCCCCCGATTGGTATAGTAGTTGTAGAGCCGAAGAAGTCATGCTACCATTTAGCTATAGTAGCTTTTTGATAGGAGGTGCGCCATCAAAGTCCGCCATCAAAGTCACAAGATAGTCACCCATGTTAGAGCACATTCAGTCACCCTTCCATATGCTCCATATCACTTCTGAGCACTCATTTGTAGACAATAGGTGTGACCCTAAATTACAATGGTCATTTACTGTCCCCACACATGTTCCGTAGACTACCTTATGTTTCGTCCATAAACCTACAAAAGCACATACCGTAATTTTCGGACTATAAGCCGCCCCTTTTTTCCCATTTTTCGACCCTGCGGCTTATATAACGGTGCAGCTAATCTATGGATTTTTACAGCTAACGGCCACTAGAAGACCTCCTAAATCTATGGATTTTACAGGTTACGGTCCACCAACTTTAACTCTATGGGCTCTATGACAGGTCCGCGCCCCCCACCTTTAAGCAGCGGGCTCCAGCAGGAAAAGCTGGAGGCCGGAAATGAGTGAGACAGGTAGCGCGCAAAAGTAAAAGTCGAACCGAGAGTGGTACGAGAGACAGAACGAGAGCAAGACAGACAGACATTACGAGAGCGAGACAGTTTGTCTCTTTCCCGACAATCCCCTCTGTGCACGAACCCTTACATATGGTAATTAAACATTAAAACACCTGCGGCTTATAGTCCAGTGCGGCTTATATATGTACACATCATTCAATTTAGCTGCTGCGGATTATACTCCGGTGCGCCTTATAGTGCGGAAAATACGGTACATATACTCTTCATAAACACATGCACATATTCGTTCACATAGTCGAAATCCAACCACACTGTCATGTCCCCCCATATACATCAGTCCAAATGTGATTGTATGCGTGTGAGCATGTACCGTGACGTACAGAGTGTATCAGTGATATACTGTATGAGAGTGAATAATGAGTGTGTTGGTGTGTGCGTGTAAATTCCCACCCACAAGGGTTTTTTCTATGAATGGGGTGTGGTTTTATGGGGAGTTCTATACACTCAAGAAAAATGTACACACGTTGCATCAAAGCACTTGTCAGAGAAGAATGTCGAACTGCCAGTGTTGGTGTAGTGTGAGCATCAGAGGCCAGCTACGCAAACCCCCTCTTCACCGTTTGAGCATGATGTGTCCAGATCAGTGTGTCTGTGAGCGTGGGTGTATATGTTTGTGCCGTCTAATGCATTAATGTGTGAAATAATCAGCATTTTGCTTCAAAATCACTAACAGCTGCCAGAAGAGAATCAAGGACATCCAGCTCTGAGCAAAGCATTAGAGGGACTGAAGTTAGGCCAAGTCAGTATGATGCAGAATCCTATTATCTATATTTAAATTGAGCTATTATATGTATTCTGTTACTTAGCCAGTGAGCAAAGAATCAGTAAGTCAGATTTGAGAAAATCCTTTTGTAATGAGCCAGTGAACCGTAGTCCAAGGTAAATTATGCCTCTCAGCCATAGCTAGTGAATGGTCCAAAGCCTATGGAGTCTATAGTATAGTGAGTCTATTGAAATGGAGTGTCAGTCAGGTGAGTCAGGGCCATCCAGGCAGCGCCTCAGGTAGATGGCATGCAGAATCCTAACACCAAGCTTCTCATCTGTCGCTCCTCAATCTGCCGAGCCCTCGGCCTGTTAGTGTGTGTGCATCACGGGCCAGCCCCGTACGGTAAGTAGTGCTCGCTTTCTCTTACTGTTGCTTCCGATCTGACCTGCCTTTTCTAGCTGTATCTTCTTCTCTATGTTCTGTTCTTCTCTCCTTCCTTTGCGGTTTTCTTTACCTCCCTTATGGAGGTTTCGTGGTATATGGGTTTTCTGCATTTCTGTTCGCTATGTAGCATGCTTAGTGCATTGTAAAACAGAGGTAAGTGTTCTTGTGCCATGACGAAAGAGAAATAATGTGGGTACATGCGGGGATACAAGTAAAAATAATAATAAAAATAAAAAGATTAATACTATATCAAATCATATTGTATCTATTGAAATATGCTTTTATCACCATAATTATGTTGAAATAATTATTATGACTCTTGGGTGAAGGGTTATTTTTTCTTGCTGGATACTTACGGCCTATGGGTTCCTCAGCAAAGTACTCATCAGACTGTTAAGCAAAGTGTGTAAGTAGAAGGAAGTTCAAATATTCACTTTCTTTGTTTCTCTTCACAGAGCCAAGCTGCCATTGGCGGAGTTATTGACCTGGGCACCATGGAAACCGTCCCAGTCTTCCAAGCTGCACAGCGTGGCCTCATTGATCAGGACACCTGCCATGTCTTATTGGAGGCCCAGCTCACCATGGGCGGGTTGTTTCAGCCTGTCTCCCCTGTGAGCCTATCACTGGAAGAGGGCCTCAACTGTGGCCTGATTGATAGTCACATCAGCCAATCCCTATCAGAGCTGGAAAGTGCCTTGCATCTTGTCGACCAGACAGAACAACTGGAGGGCCAGCTCCTCCCAGTGGCTGCAGCAATGGAGGAGGGCCTTATCAGAGAGGAGTTGGGGCTGCGTATCCTGGAGCTGCAGATGAACACAGGAGGCCTGAGGGAGTTAGGAGGAAGAAGACTGACCTTGGATAGTGCTGGAGAAATGGGCCTGCTGACTCCAAGGGTCTACACCAAGCTCAGATCACGAGTCAATCGGCGGGAGCTCGTTGACCCCAACACAGCTGAAAAGCTGAATCTGTCTGAACTGCAGCAGCGCTGCGTCCTCAGCGATGAAACCGGCTTGCATTTGCTGCCAGTCAAACAGCAGCCAGGAGGCACTGTCTGCCTCCCTTCCGGCAGGAAGGTTGGGATCTTCCGCGCTGTCCAAGAGAGTCTGATTGACAGGCAAGTTACAGTGAGATTGCTGGAGGCCCAGCTATTTGCTGGTGGGATCACTGACCCCCGTTCGGGACGCCGGCTGACTGTGGATGAGGCTGTGCGTCACAATCTGATGGACCTGGACCTGGCCTGTGCCATGCTGACCCGCCAGCTGCAGAGTGGTGGGATACTAGACCCTGTAAGTGGGGAGCGCCTAGGGGTGGAGGAAGCCATCCAGAGGGACCTGCTCTCACCTCGTCTTGCTCTGCTGGTGCTCGAGTCCCTCTGGGCTTTTATGGGATTGCTCTGGCCTGAGTCAGGGGAGCTGCTGCCAATTGCAGAGGCTCTACAACAAGGGGTAATCTCAGGAGAGCTGGCTCGGAACATCCTGAGACAACGCCACACGATAGGTGCCCTGTACCTTCCTGAAATCCCCAAGGTTGTGTCCCTAAATCAGGCTAAGGAGGTCCTTGAACCCAAAGTGGCTGAGATTTTGAAGGAGATTCAGATCCCAGATGTGCTACACAACATGAACCAGTCAGGCTCCCCAAAACTAAATCGCCTAAGCTGGGGCTCCACTGGGTCATCCCCTCCCTCCTCACCCCCTGCCTCTTCCCCAGGGCTCACATGTGACCCCTCATTCCTGGAGGAGATGGCCCCTGAGGAGCAGGCACATCACCGCCTGCTTTTCCATTTAATGACCCACAGTTATATGGATTCCCATTCTGGCCAGCGCTTAGTGTTGCTCGAGCCTGAGCTGGTGGAACTTGTCAAGGCTGCTACTGGTCTGATCAATGTGGATCCTATACCTGTAGTGGTTGAGGCAGGGTTGAGTTTGACTTCAGAAAGACAGGAGTTTATGGAAGTAGTGCCAATTATACGTTTGGTGGATAATCAGCAGACGAGGGAAATTGGAGAGGTCCAGGAAAGAAGTGCTATATTCAGCTTGTCTGAAATAGATATTTCCTCCAGAAAGATGTTAGAAGAAGCTGATAGTCAAGGATGGGATGGTACATCTGACATGATATTGCAGGCTAAGCAAACTGGAATTAATGAGATGGGACAGGTAGGCCTTGAGTCAACCATGAGAATAAGTGAGGAGGTAGATGGAGGTGTACATAGAGAAGTAAAAGGTGAAAAGGATGAAATTGTTGTTTTTGAAAGTGTCCAACCCACAGCTGGACTACCGGAAAAGCAATTCATTACAGACTCGTATGAAGAGGGGCTGGTAGAGATTGAATCAGAGGGAGCAAGAGATAGAGGTCACAAAAAGACAAAGGATAAGGACTCACTCATGGAAGACATTGACAGTAGACTTGTAGAAGCCTCAGAAATGTACTCAGCACCATTAAAGACCGAGGCAGAGACTCTGATGCCAACCCAATCCTTCAAAGAACCTGCTATCCCACCATCAGAGACGAATGAAAAGGAGAGCGTGCCTGTGAGTGTTGGAGTTAAGCATACTATGAAGGCTGCTCAGAGGGTCACAGTGAAGACCCAACCCCAGGTTATGAGTTTAGAGGCAGGAGCGGTGAAGAGTGAGGAGGAAGTTGAGCTGGAAAGGTTGGCCTCAGAGCTTCTGCAAGGGGGTCTACTGACGGAAGGAAGGCAGCGGCTTCTCCCAGATGAAGCCGTGGCTCAGGGGGTCCTCCCTGGACACACTGCAGTCAAGCTGATGGCCAAGGCAGGGCTTTTCGGAGGTTTCCTGGATGTCAGTGCATGCGAATCCCTGAGCACGGAGGATGTGATGCAGGAGGGTCTGCTTGACGAAGACCTGATGTGGAGTGTGCTGAAATCAGAGAAGACCCTGGCAGGGGTAGTGGATGTAGAGAAGGGGAAGATTTGTACCCTGAAGGATGCTGCTCAGGCAGGCCTGATAGACTCCAACACGGCTGCTCGGCTTCTGGAGGCCCAGGTGGTCTCAGGGGGAGTGGTTGACCTGCTAAGGGACAAGAAAGTGTCTGTTACCCTGGCAGCCAACCTTGGGCTGATAGAGGAGGACCAAAGAGAGAAGCTAGTTGCGTTGGAGAAATCATACCGTGGAAAATGCTCAGACCCAGATGCAGCGCTCACCAAAGCAATGTTGCAGCTGCAAATGGATGGGGTTGTAGATCCCAAAACTAAGTCACCTGTTCCCCTAAAGCAGGCCCTTGAAAGAGGATTACTTGGGCAGGAGGAAGTCTATCAAGCCTTGTCCCAGCAAGTTGCGGAGGGTGGCATCGTGCACCACAACTCTGGAGTTAGACTGTCAGTTGCTGATGCTTTGCAGCGAGGTCTGATAGACCGTGCCTTAGCCCCAGAACTGAGGGAGTTAGAGAGAGCATGTCAGGGGGAGGTAGCCCTCTCTTCAAACCCAGATGCTGCCCTCCTCCAGGCATCCACAGGTGCCATTTTGGACCCTGATTTAAAGTGTAGACTTACATTGACAGAGGCTGTCTCCGATGGTCTGCTCGATGAGAGCACTGCCAAGAAAGCAATGGTTTCTCCAGGTATAACACAAGGTGTGTTGGATCCACAAAGTGCCCAAATTGTGCCTTACTCTGACCTTGTAAACCAAGGCAAGATTGACATTAAGAGTGGAAAGCGCTTCTTGGAAGTGAATCCTTTCAAGGGAATCCAGGATAAGCAAACAGGTGAAATCCTAAACTTAGCTAAAGCTATTGCATCTCAACAAGTTGATCCGGTCCCAGCACTCAGAATGTTGCAGAGCCAGGCAGACTCTGGAGGGATTATTGATATTTCCGATGGAGCTAGGCTCCCTCTGCCTAAAGCCTCAAAGAAAGGACTGGTGGGAGAACATATGGCCAGGCTCATTGCCTCCAACCAGGTTCTGAAAGGGGGCTTGCTTGACCCTTCCACAGGGCAGAGAGTCTCTAGCCTGAAAAAAGCTGTCAAAGATGGGCTTATATCCAGAGAAATGGCTGCAGAACTCCAGGACAACTTGAGCTCCATGGAAGTAGAATGTGATGATGAGGATAGTTCAACACCCGTTGCCTCTTCAAATGGGACCTATAGTCCTGCAGTCACATTATCAATATCCAGTCCAGACAGCCAAACCAAAATCATTATTGAAAGCTCTGAAGTGATTTCTCCATCCCCACATCCAGAAGAGTCAGAAAAGGGGTATAACCCTTTGATGATCACAGAGGACATTGCAAAGACTCTAGAAGCTGGAACATACAAGCAGTCAGAAGATCTGCAACACCGTGGCTCTGTTCACATTGAAGAAGAGATGGAAGATGAACAGGTCTCAATAGCCGGGAAGTCATTTGAAATTGAGTCAGACCAGTCAATCAATTTGTTGGCTCAGTTTGCAATCAATGCAGAGAAAAGGCTTCATCAGGCCCTTCAGGAGATGGAGACTCCGCAAGATGTTACTGTTCGACCACCAGAAAATGATAATAAAAAGGAGTCTAGATCAGTTTGTGAAAGTAGTTCAGTCATGCAGCAGGGGCAGTCTGCTATGGGCAAAGAACCACGGATGGACTCGACATGGGCCATTGGCAGAGAAGGTGGGGATCAAGAGGGCAGCATAGATATGTCTACCCTAGTTGAGAGAGATGAAGGGAAGACAAATGTGGTAGAGAGGGACACAAAGATTGAGGTCACAGAGAGTGATGATCTTGGGCATGCATCACCCCCTTCTAAGGAGGTCGTAGGTAAGAGCAAAAAGAAGAGGAAGAATAAGACGAAAGGAAAAGGGAAGGAGGTTGACATTGAGCAAAGACCCTCAGAAAAAGCTGATATTCTGAAAATGGAAAACAAAGACCAGAATGCACAATCAGATGGTAAGGATAAGGGTGTTGAGTCCACCAGAGGTTATGTTACCCCACAGGAGAAAGAGGAGTCACTTGTGCAAGATGTTCAATCTGCCATCAAAGGTGCAAAGGCACAGACTGTTGAGAGGTTTGGAGATCCAGAAGATATTGGCAAAGTAAGGGAAGGTTCTACAGTTCCACCAGGAGCGATGGAAGATGCTCTTGAGGTAGAGAGAGATGGTACAGAGTACAAGGTCTTCGAGGACCAATGCTGGGTAGAGAAGAACAAAACGTCTAAGATACTTATAGCATCAGAGAAGGTTGATCCTGTGACAGAGGAGAGATCATCCATCCATGATAGCGTATCCATTCATAATAGAGTTTCTAAGGATGAGCAAAAGAGGGAGGGGGCGCAGATTGTGGAAAAGAGTGAAACAGATGGGGTGGAGACAGTTTCTCAACAGACTGGACAACAGGAGCATAAGGATAGGAAAGAGGTGGAATTCACGCTGAAAACCACCCCAGCATCAAATGACAAAGAGGCCCTTTTACGGAAGGCAAAAGAGAGTATCCTGAGGAAGGTGTTTGGGCGAGGTGTTAGTGAGAAGCAAGCTGCAGATGAGCTAGAGGCACTGCGTCAGGGAGTTGGGAAGAAGGAGAGTTTGGTGACATCTGTAGAGGAAGTTAAGACTGTGGGGAGTCCAGAGGTTTTACCAGAAGAGAGGGAGGGTAAAGGAATTGACAAGAAGGAAGAAGGAGAAAGAGAGAAAGTTCTGCCTGACCATTCTATGATACCTGTAGCAGCAGAGGAAGTGGAAAAAGCTCAGCCATATCAGGCTAAAGAAGGAGCGAAAGAGGAGAAGGCTCTACCAGACCAGGCTAAAAAAGGAGAGAAAGGGGAGAAGGCTCTACCAGGCCAGGCTAAAAAAGGAGAGAAAGGGGAGAAGGCTCTACCAGACCAGGCTAAAGAAGGAGAGAAAGGGGAGAAGGCTCTACCAGACCAGGCTAAAAAAGGAGAGAAAGGGGAGAAGGCTCTACCAGACCAGGCTAAAAAAGGAGAGAAAGGGGAGAAGGCTCTACCAGACCAGGCTAAAAAAGGAGAGAAAGGGGAGAAGGCTCTACCAGACCAGGCTAAAAAAGGAGAGAAAGGGGAGAAGGCTCTACCAGGCCAGGCTAAAAAAGGAGAGAAAGAGGAGAAGGCTCTACCAGACCAGGCTAAAAAAGGAGAGAAAGGGGAGAAGGCTCTACCAGACCAGGCTAAAAAAGGAGAGAAAGAGGAGAAGGCTCTACCAGACCAGGCTAAAAAAGGAGAGAAAGGGGAGAAGGCTCTACCAGGCCAGGCTAAAAAAGGAGAGAAAGAGGAGAAGGCTCTACCAGACCAGGCTAAAAAAGGAGAGAAAGGGGAGAAGGCTCTACCAGGCCAGGCTAAAAAAGGAGAGAAAGGGGAGAAGGCTCTACCAGACCAGGCTAAAAAAGGAGAGAAAGGGGAGAAGGCTCTACCAGACCAGGCTAAAAAAGGAGAGAAAGGGGAGAAGGCTCTGTTAGACCAGATTGAAGAAGGAAAGAACAAGGCTAGATCTCAAACAGACCAGCTTAAAGAGATGATGCCGGGAAATAAAAATAAGAAGAACAAAAAGTCTAAGATGCATAAAGTGTTAGAAAAAGTTGAACCTGCGACAGAGGAGAAACCGTCCATCCACAATAGAGCAGATTCTGAAGTGAAATCCACACCGGCTGATCTAGAGAGCTCAGTCTCTGGGGATGAGCAGAAGATTGAGAAGCAGCAAGACAATCAACCAGACAGTGATGTAACAACAGTGGCAAGTGGTGATGAGATGAACAAAATGGCTGCCTCTACCAAGAGTCCTAGTGGAGTTGACACCAATCAACAAAGATCAACCCACACCACTGCACCATACCAAATCAATGCACATCTTGAGGAGAAAACTGAGGACATTTCTTTGGGGAGAGAAACTGATCCACATGGCAAGGACATTGAACAATTTAGGATTGGTACACCTGAGAAGGATGTCCACCCAGACACCCATTGTATTATTGACATTGTGGATGCCTCTCCTGAAGCCCTTGTATCCATGTCAGGCGCCCATCTGGTCAAGGCCTCTGTGGCTCCATGTACCCAGACTGCTAAGCCCACAGAGGAAACTGATGCACATCTGGTGAAAGATACTGAGGAGGACAGGTCTCTGAGCAAACAAACTGATCCACTTGGCAAGGACATTGAACAACTAATAATTAGTATACCTGAGGAGGCCTCTGTGGCACCTGATACCCAGCCAGCTAAAACTACTGGCAAAGGGAAGAAAAAGAAACAGCAGCAAGAACAACAACAGCAGGAGCAGAAACGTGACAGTCCCACTGAAACTGAGTGTAAAGAAGAACAGTACCTTGAGGATTCCACAGAATCAGGACAGTCCTGGTCTGATGAGACCCCACAGTCTGATGAGATTGTTGAATCTGATACAACAGAGGTACCCGAATCTGATACAACAGAGAGCTGGGAGGAGGGTGAAATACAAGAATTGGAGATAAGGAAAGAGAAGAGCCCAGCTAAGACGGGAAAGGTAAGCAATTGATGCATTTAGTAGGTGAAAAGCAAATTGTCTCTACTTGATCATACATTATCTGAATTGTGTAACCCAATAATAAGCTGTCAAATGTCTATTTTTATTGGAAAATTGCCATCCAGACTGATGCTTATCTGACATTCCCTTTCCATCAGTCCTCGTTGCTCCGCCAGGAATTCCTGGAACATGACCAGCAAATTGTGGCTCTGCTCTCTATGGTGAGACACATCGAGGTTCGCCTCAAGCAACAGCAGCAACAGTCGATTGGTCGCAGCCTCATTGCCCTTGATGACATCATCAAACAGACAGAGGTAAGATATTTAGTACCTGAAAATGTATGATCTATGATGTTACCACAATAGAAATCTTATGTTTCAAAATTGACCAACCTTTCTATTATCTCAGACCTTGGATCTAGAACTTCGGGATTTAGAATCCCAGGTCAAAAAGGAAGTGGATGCTGCTGGGCAGCTGCTTGAGCCCCGCCCACAGGAAGTACCACCTCAGCTACTATTGGCCTTGGAGAAGGATGGGCGAAGCTTAGCTCGAGGTTACGAAACTGCCAGAGGGGTTTCTGAAAACATCCTGCAGGGGCTGTGCGCACACAGAGAGGCACATAAGGTAATGGTATAGTGGATTGAAATATGAGATCTGTGTGTTTTTGGTGTTTAATCCACTATTGCACCCTTTGCTAATCAGTGCTGTTTGTTTCTCTCTCTCAGGAGGCAGTGACTGGAGAACAGAAGTCACTTGGAGGGCGAGTAGAGGATCTTCTGTTCTGGCTGAAGGAGACTGAGGCACAAATTACAGGAATGGATGGGCAAACCCAGAGCGAGACTCCTTCTCAGTGCACACAACAGCTCCGTCTATGCAAGGTTACCACACTCACCCTACACTGTTCACATTTTACTTGTACCCTCTTCTTGTGCACTTTCAATTGTCCAATTATCGACCTAGTTCGGATTCAGCCTACACTTTGCCTCATTTCCAGCTATTCCTCAGATCATTCTCTCCTTTCTATCTCTCTTCCTCAGGAGTTGCAGTCATCTCTTTCGGCACGCTCCAATGACGTCAACGCGCTTGCCTTTGACATCCAGGTGTTCATCTCAGAGCGGGCTCAGGACCTGGCTCCCGAACAGAGCAGGCAACTCCTGGGGCAGCTACAACAGCTCCAGAGGAGCTTCCACCGAGCCGCTGGCCAAGCCCACGCCAAGACCGACGCCCTCGCCGCCCAGAGAGAGAGGGAGGAGGAGAGGCAGCGCAGACACAAGGAAAAAGAAGAGGAGGAGAAGGAGCGAGAAAGCGAGAGACGGAGTGCGAGGGAGAGAGAGGTTTGCAAAACCGCTGGCTATGTTCCACAGTCCCATTGGAGTGGTGGAATGCATGTTTAACATACTCACATACATTCAATCATCAGTAATAACATACTTTACCATATAACATTTGTGGTCATGCTATCATTGTTTAAATTCTCACTTTCTGTCACATATGTTTTGTAACTGGCAAACCCTTATACCTATTATTAATCATGTCCATCAAAGCAAATATACCAACTTGAAAAAGAATAATTATTTAACAAATTTACAAACCACCCATATGCCTAAATGAGGTTTATCACCTACATCAGATTGGCAAAGAACCGCTGCTGCTGCTGTGAAAGCTAACACACAGTATAGTGACTGGTATAACAACACGCACCACAGGCTTCGATGCCCAACGTGTTTTGTCCTCTGCATGTGTCCCTGTATAACACCTGTGTGAATTAACATGTCTGCCTTGCTCTTCCAGATTGCCACAGAAGGAAATACGCTAGTGCCTCCACGGAAAAGGCTAGAGAGTTTTAAATCAGAGAAGCCTTGCTGTGGTTTGAACGCTTTCCTTTTTCCCCTCCTCTCCCCTATCGTACGATATGGGGAGAAAGGAAATAATGCCAAATGAGGACACCATTTGTTTGATTGTCTTTGTGGATTGTTGTTTTGGCTTGACTGACCTGTTGATGATGATGCTGTTTCTATATCTGTATCTATCGGTCTGTCTGTCTGTCTGGCTGTGTGAATTCTGGACACATCCTGCTCAACGTCTGGCAAAGTGTGCACAAATGATATTAAAGGGTTTAGAAAGAAGCAAGCGTGCACTTAACAGAAGTGTGAATGGGTGTTGAAGAGAAGTGTTTTCGTGTGCTTCTGCTCAACTGAGTGGAAAACTACAATAGGTGTTGGATTTAACGTTATGGACTGACCACTGTTTATTAGCAAAACAGGCAATACTCCTTTTCTCACTCTCTCTTTTTGCTTACATTTCTCCTTTTCCCTCCATCCATCTCTCTTTCTACCTTCATCTGTGGCTCTCAGGTGGTGCAGCAGCAGAAAGCAGAGTGCTCACAAAAATTGGAAGGCCTTACGATGTGGTTGGCTGGAGCTGCCAGTGTGCTGGCCAATCAAAGAGCGGGAGCAGAGTCAGGTGACGTGAATGTGCTGCAGCAGAAACAGAGAGAGCTAAAGGTGAGAAACTGTCCGATTTTCACATCCATGTCTCAAGAAAGGAGAACTCACATGTTGTTTAGTTGCTCCCAGACTTCTAAGGTAGCCAGGTTTTGACCATGGAAGGTCTCTGAGGATCCACAGTTATAGGAACTAGACTACATTAAAACTGTCAGTGCGTCTTAACAGTGTGCATATATTCTCCTTTCTCTTCACATGCAATTTTGTATTCCCTGCTCCAGAGAAATATGCTACACTACCTGTAACCTCTCTATATCTGACCCTCTCCATCCCTCTCTCTCCCTCCCCCCCAGGAAGTACAGAAGGACCTGCAGACCAGAGGCGAGGGCGTGGCGGAGACCGTCCGCTCGGTGGAGGAGTTCCTGGCGGAGCACGGTGACAGCCTGAGTCCAGAGGACAGGGCCAACCTCCAGGGGGCACTCTCCCGTATGAAGGAGGAGTACAGTGCCCTGACCGACACGGCCCACTCCTCGCTGGCCCAGCTGGACACGGCCATCTGCACCACCGTCCAACAGAACACACAGAGGGTAAGCCTAAAGTATCAGCGCTGCTGTCTAACAGTGCACATAGAGGGTAAAGGGATACAGGACTTTAGATCCCCATTTTACTATTGTCAACTTTTAGGAACCAAGGTCCAAGTATTATATCTTTATGGATATTGTTTTGAGTATTGAAAAGATAATATGGAAATAGCTACAGTTTGGCAATTAACCCAGAGGAAAAGCTCTTACCTTTTCTGTGTCAATTATGATGAAGGGCCTTTCTTTCCCTGAATGCACTTTCATTGGTAGAAATATACACTCACCCCGATCTGTGCTGTTTGGTCAAGTTCTAATGTGTCCCCTCTATTTCCTTCCTCTATAGGCGAAGGCACTAGAGGAGCTGCTGGAGACTCGGGTCCAGATGGACTCGCTGCTAGAGGAGCTCTCCTCCCTGAACCAGCCTGGGAAGAGAGGGGCTGGCATGACTGTTACTGACCACCTCTCCTCATCCTCCTCCACATCGCCAGAGGGAGGTCTACAATCACACAGCGACATGCTCCAGGTCAGACTTCCTCCTTGCTGTTTATTTACAAAAAGTAAAGTTTGTTCATGTTGTGGTATACAATTAAATGCACTATGAAACGTAATACTGCAGAAAAGGGTTCTAAAACAGCCTTTTTAGGTGCTTGGCACAGGTTATTGAATGATAGTCAGCGTGCATCCCAATAGTCTAAGGTGGCTTCCTCTCATCTCCTTTCCAGACTATTGAGATGAACCCTCACTATTGCTCACTCTTACCCATTATGATCTTTGATCTTTGACCCCTCTACAGGCAGAGCTCCAGCAGCTCCAAGCCCAGCAGGCCCAGCTGATGCAGGTGTCCCAGAACGCTCGCTCCCTCCTGGTCCAGCCCGACTCGGCCGTACCAGCCGAGGAGAAACGCCGTCTGCGGGACCAGCTAGACCAGCTCCAGACCCAACACCAGGAGAAGCTGCAGGCTTGCCAGGAGAGGCTGAGGCGCTCGGAGGCCCTAAAGGACGAGCTGGCCAAGTTCCTCCAGGAGCACAGAGGCCTGGGGACCTGGCTGGAACATAGTGAGGGGGAGCTGTGTTCCTTGGGGGAAGGAGAGACGGACGCACAGGGCCTGAAGGGAAGACTGGAAGAGCACAAGAAGGTACATGTTGTTTTTTGATTTTCCTATACTAGTGTGGGTTAGTGAAAAAGCTACATTGCATAGCCATGGAGAGATGGTTTACATTAGCAAGATGTAAGAATAAAGGCTTACTGTAACAATAGTTCAGGGTTTATATTGGCAATATTCACTCCTATTGTCAGCTGTATACACACAGTCAAGACACTGAAGATGCTAAGTTTACTGTTTCAAACTTTGGAACCAAACACATTCTTGACTGTATCAAACTGACCTGGAACCTATTGTCTTCCAGCTGGCCGAGGATGTGATCTGCCACAAGGCAGACCTGCGCTTTGTGTCCATCTCTGGTCAGAAGGTGCTGGACTCTGTCCAAGGGGCTCTGGAGAAGGTAGGAGGGTCTGACCCAGCCCTGGAGGAGACCAAGCAGCTGGTCACTGACAAGCTACAGGACGCCAACCACCGCTACACCACCCTGCACACCAAGGTGGGTCTCATATAAAATAGGGGGATTGTATTCTTCATTACTACTGTACTTGGTGTACCAATGCATACTAGGGGGTTATATCCAAAATGGCAGGGATTGCGTTGAAAGATGCACTATAGTCAGTTAAGGTCCCTATGAAATATAAGCCGTATTCATAATTTTACATTCTTTTTATATAGCTATAATATCTAACAATCAATAATATTACAGCGATAACCACTAGTGGGCTGTATGTAGAGATATTGAACAGTACTTTCATAGTAGAGATGGTGTCCTGTTCATCTTTATTGATCTATGCTTACTTTCCCTTGTCTTCCCTCTCCAGTCGTCAGATCTGGGCGGCCGTCTGTCGGCTCTGTTGGAGCGCTGCCAGCAGTACCAGGACGAGGCTGTGTCGCTCCACACCTGGCTCAGCACCCAGGAACAGAACCAGAGTATAGTCGGTCCCAGCGGAGAGACAGACACACTGACACTACAGAACACACTGCGGGCCGTACAGGTGAGTGAGAGCATAGAAATACCGCATGTAGCTGGGGTATGCAAATGTACTGAATTATTTTATACTGTATATACATGTGACTGAAAGCGGCGACATTATCAGCATCTCAATCTTTGTGAAGAGAGGTTAGAACACTTCTCTCTGTTTTCGATTCCCTGCACCTCAACATTTCTCCTCCTTTTCCCCCCTTCTTTTTCTATTCTTTTTCTTCCCCCTCTCTCTCTTTGTTCTGTTCAGCTGTTGCAGGATGAGCTGGCGGAGCGGTCAGTCCAGTTGGAGAAGGTGAGGAGGTCAAGCAGAGAGCTGGCCAACACACAGGAGTCCCCCACTCTCAGAGCTGCCGAGATCATCAGCACTGCAGGTACACCAGCTCACAACCATGTCCATTGTTCTGCCGTTCATAACCTTCTATATTGTTATATGTCTCATACACTTCCCCATTATCAATTCATATCTTATTCCTCCCTTCCTTCATATCCTCATAGATCATGCAGTGTATCTACAGTAATGACCATTTTCTTACTATCCCTAATACCCCCATCTCTGTTGATGTCTTTATATCCATCCACCTAAACAAATGATTCTATATCGTCATGGAGAAAAGTAACCACACTGACATTCTCTCCTCCTTCCTCTCTCCGTTGTCAGATGGTCTGGAGAAGAGGTTCAACTCTCTGTCGAAGTCTGTGTCGGAGCGGGCTGAGCAGCTCCAGACGTCCGTAGCCCAGTCGGTCAGTGTCCAGGAGGGGCTGAAGGGCCTGCTAGCCTGGCTGGACGGCCTGCTGCTGACCCCCGGACCCATCCAACCCACCGCCCAGGCTGTCCAGGACGCCCTCACACAGAATCAGGTATCATAGTAGAAATACAGGGAGTCTACTATGGAACATGGAATAGCCTGCAGCTGCTATAATACAGTTTATGAGAGTTTTTAAAATCTAATTTACATAGACTATTATCTAAAAAAATTGGCCTTCACATCTAATACACATCTCCACTGTCCACTTTGCAGTTGTGTTACATGAACTTGTTTTAACCCACTTCCCCTCTGTTCCAGAAACTACGCCAGGAGCTGTTATCCAGACAGGGCAGTGTGGAGGCCACCTGCGACTCTGTCTCCAAACTGCTCCAGAGCTCTGACGCCTCCACGGCCTCCGGGCTCCAGGGGTCACTAGAGAGCCTGACCCAGCGCTACGCTGCGGCACAGGCCAAGCAGGCCGAGAAGGAGGCTGAGCTCCGGGGGCTCTTGCCCAAGCTGGAGAGCTATGAGAGACTGAATACGGACCTGCAGAGTTTTACTCAGACCAGTCTGAGAGCTCTTAGCCCTGCGGGACAGCCTGACCGCAGTGTGGAGGACTACAGACAGACCATAGAGGTAAGAGGGGTGGGATGGTAGATATTGATTGATTTTATTTTACAGTTTGAAAAAAATACATATACACACAGTACATAAATATTTTATTTTTTAAGTCAGCCTCCTGAGTGGCGCAGTGGTCTAAGGCACTGCATCGCAGTGTTGCGGCGTCACTACAGCCTGGGGTTCGATCCCAGGCTGCTGTGTCACAGCCGGCCGTGACCGGGAGTCCCATAGGGCGGCGCACAATTGGCCCAGCATCGTCCGGGTTAGGGGAGGGTTTGCCCGGGGGGCTTTACTTGGCTCATCGCCCTCTAGCGACTCTTTGTGGCGGGCCGGGCGCCTGCAAGCTGACTTTGGTAGTCAGTTGAACGGTGTTTCCTCCGACACATTGGTGCAGCTGGCTTCCGGGTTAAGTGAGCGGGTGTTAAGATACAGCGCGGCTTGGCGGGTCATGTTTCGGAGGATGCATTACTCAACCTTCGCCTCTCCCGAGCCAGTTGGGGAGTTGCAGCGATGAAACAAGATCGTAATTGGATCGCAATTGGATATCACGAAAAAGGGGGTAAAAAAATTAATTAAGTCTATGAATTATTTATATTATGGTCCCTTAAAGTGTTCCAGAACCATAGATATTAATGTAAGCAGAGAGGTGATATGAGGATAGAGTTGCAGAACCTTAGATATCAGTGTTACAGGCCATAGAGGTGAGAGGATGGTGATGGTTAATAATATTACAGAACCATAGATATCTGTTTGAACAGAGAAGTGAAAGAAGGCAGAGGGACTATGCTCTAAGAGATGTCGGGGAGGGTTTGCTACCTTCAGATAACATATCTGTATCTGCCTTACTACTACAGGAGGTGAGAGCGGAGCAGGAGCAGGAAGCAGGTCAACTGAAGTCATTCTGCCAGTTGGGGACAGACCTCAGCCAAGCCAAGTCCCTGACCAGCACACAGACCTTACTGGACAACGTCAGAGAGGTTTCCGATGAGTTCGCCCGACTGGAATCCAACATCACTGAAATGTAAGCAGCACTGCCTCAGAACACACTGATCCAAATCCAATACAAAACCAAGGCCCTGTGCATAAGCGTTGTAGTTCACTGTAGGTAAGCCCTGCCCTAGAATATACAAAGCCAAGACCAATACGTCAGAATCGATGAAAGATCTCTAGGTGCACATAGGCTTGTAGTGCAGCATCATTCCCACTAGGGGGAGATGGATACAGCACAATAAGACCATACACTGTCACATTACTGCCACCATTACAGTCTGAAATATGACACTCATGACATTTCTCTTCATTTTCATTTTAGTCATTTAGCAGACGCTCTTATCCAGAGCGACTTAAAAATACAGGAGTAATTAGGGTTAAGTGCCTTGCTTAAGGTCACATCGAAATATTTTTTACATAGTCGGCTCGGGGATTAGAACCAGCGACCTTTCGGTTACTGGCACAACGCTCTTACCCACTAAGCTACCTGCCGCCCTCTTCACGCTAATGCCATACAAATGTATCCACAAATTAAACACTGGGGCGGCAGGTAGCTAAGCGGTTAAGAGCTTTGGGCCAGTAACCAAGGTTGCTGGTTCGAATCCCATTGTCGACTAGGGGAAAAATCTGTCTGTGCCCTTGAGCAATGCACTTAACCCTAATTGCTCCTGTAAGTTGCTCTGGACAAGAGTGCTAAATGACAAAAAAAGTCCCCCCAAAAAAAGGCACACCGGGGGGGTGGATAACTTTAAAACACTCCCAGTTAGTTGATAGGCTGGATCCTTTGTCCTTCCTGTATGGCAGCACCAGTTGCCATATCGCCCTGGTTAGCCTATTTCTATGAGTTGGGCCTCATAGAAATAGAATGACTGGCAATGTCCCTTCTAGGGTTTCTATTTCTATATCAGACCTCTTATAAATACCATTGGACTGTCTGTTCGTCTAGCAAAAGACCGCAAAAGCTCCCATAGCGGCTAATACATGTAGTGAGGGATTAGGCCTGTGCAGGATGTGTCTTAACAGTAGCCCTGACCCCTTTGAACGCTATGCGTTTCCAACAATGGTGTGTGGGTGGACAGTGTTAGCTGATGGCATAGGAGCAAATGTGGTTTGCGGTTACTAAAATAAGCCTTGGTGGGCACAGTTCAGTGTATGTCAGTGTCATACAAAAGAGGCTCTCACTTACAGACTGTGACCAGAACATAAATAACACACTTTCGATGACCCAGACTGTTATAACATGATTGTTTTGTCTGTGTGCGCTGCAGTCAGTGCAATGTTTGAAAGCAGCTGTGATTGGGGCAGAACAAGTACAAAGCAGGGGTCAAGTCTAAGGAGACTATAGCCTTGGGCGAATACGGTCGAGATAATGGTTTATCCTTGACTGCATCACTCTCTCTCTTTTTGTGACATGAAGCGTGTGATTTTAATGTAATGGTTGTGTGTTTTATATGGAAAGGATAGTGGGATTGAATTAAAATGTTCTCTTCCTCTTTTTTACTCTTTCCCCACTTTCTGTCTCTTCTCCTCTCTTCATCCCTCTTTCTCACCCACTTTCTCAATGTCTATCCCTACATCTCTCTATTTCTCTCTTTTTTCAATCTTCTCCTCTCTATCCATCTCTCTCCACCATCCCCTCATCTTCCCCTCCTCTATCTATCTCTTTCTCCTTCCCTCTCCAGGAACAACGCCATCCAGAGTTGTGAGCAGCGGTTGGGCCAGTTCCGGTCTCTCTCTGGCTCCCTCCTCAGGTGGCTCCAGACAGCACAGGAGCAGCTGCCTCCCAAAGAACCCAACCTCAACACAGAGGCCCTGCAGAGGAGAGTGCAGCAGCTCAAGGTGTGTGTGTGTTCCTTTTTTAAGAACTACATGGTTTTAATCACACACATGCAACAAACAGAATCCTCAATCAATCACTGAAACACATTTCACTCGTTCTAAGGTATTGATAGATTTCGTAGTGTATTGATAAATACGTTCCAAAGCATGATAGTGATTCAGAATGATATGTCCATGTGATTATTAATTGAGGAATTATATAAAGCCATTAATAACTTTCGGACATTTCTTTACTAAGGACTTACTGAGTGACTGGGAGGCCCAGGGGACTCGGGTTCAGGAGCTGAACAAGACTGGATCAGAACTGGAGACCCTCATCATCAACATCACAGCCCCCCAGACTAAGACAGGTAAGGGGAATGGGAAACAACTGCCTGTGTGTGTGTCCTGCTACCTGCATGTCCAACTTCATCCAAGCTATGTTTGTCAGTTGTATATTGTGTGTGTTGAAGTCTATGCTATCTGTGTGCTATCAATGTGTGTGTGTACTGTGAATAAATGCTATGCTCGAAGTGTAAAACATGTCCATGCAAAACTGTGTATGTGTACAGCGTGTGAAAATCAGAGACTGAGCGTGTTATATGCTTATCACTGTTTGTATTGTACTGTACATGAATGTGTGTTAGTGTCTGTTGCAATGTATGTAGTTGTCTGAGTGCAGTGTGTCTCTCTCTCAGGTGTTCCCCAGATCAATGGTGCAGGCAGCCCCAGCAGTGTCAATGGCATTCACACATGCAAAGGTGAGCTCCCCCTCACTCCCTTATCCAAACCAATTGTCTATGGCCTTCTTTCTCATATGAGATGCTCTCCAGCGCTTACTACTGTGGACATCACTGCTTGATGTACAATCTGCTTTCTCGCTCGCTCGCTCCCAACAATGCTTACTATATATCCATTTTCTGTCTGTGTGTCTGTCTTCTGTCTGTGTGCTTCTTATATGTGCTACTGCAGTGTCTAACACCATTACAAACGTTTGTTGTCACTAATATTATGTTGCTCTGGATAATAACATCAACCAAAGGCCTTCAGTAGCTAGTTTTCCATCCAATTGGTGACAGATTTTCATGTGAATATTCTAAAATCAGCATAAATACAATATGCACATTTTCCCACCAGTGATGTTTCCATCAAATTGACTTGTTGCAGATAAGTCTGTGCGTGATGACGTAGTGCACATAAAAATAACTTTTGTGGTTAAATTCCCATGTACCGAATATAAATTACAAGTTAAATGGGTTTCCATCGCATTTGCAACTCTACTGATGGTTTTGTCACCAAAGAAATTGCGTTATATAGCAAATGTGCCCCCTCTGGTATTGGCACCTGCACTCTAGCCAACAGCTTGCAGATACAGTGCGGGTATAGTCTACATGATGAGATTATTATGGACAAAAGAGCGATTATTTTAATTTGTCAAACGGCAGCCAAGCATCGATCATCATGTCACTAGAATAAGAATTTATTGAAAAGGAGCATCAAGCTCATCACCTTGCACTTTCACCACCCTGTGAAGTTCATAACTTATTTCATCTGTAGCCTAATAAACTCCATGATTTCCCGAGTCGTAGTGGGAGAACAACACACCATATAACTGCGTGACTCTGCTTTTCCATCTGTGGAATGAAAAACACCATACCAATTAAATGTGATTGGATTTGTTTGATAGATTGGTGCTCCTCCTCTTCTTTCTCTCAGACCTGACAGAGCTGCAGGTGGCGGTGGCCGAAGTGAACGGTCGTTACGAGGAGCTGGGAGGGGAACTGAAGAACAGACAGAGGCACCAGGAGGCTTCTCTGGAGCTCAGACAGAAGGCCAGCCAGGGTACCGAGGAGCTCAGCCGCTGGCTGCGAGACCGGGAGAACAGCCTGCACCTGGGCCAGACCACCACCTCCCCCTCCAAACCGGAGTTGGTACGCGCCCAGGCCCAGGAGAACAAGGTGAGTGTCTGGACTTGGGTCAAACCACAGTCAATATTGGGATTTATTATGTCTGCTAGTTGGTCAACAATGCTACGTTGGAAAATCAGTGTTATCATCCCCTAGCTGACATAAACATATTGTACTTTCTATTGCTTACGTTCTACATGCTTATTCTTGTCTTTTTGTATACAACATACTGATATAGCTGTTTGTTCTCTATACTTTAGGCCTTACTGTCTGAGCTGGCAGAGCATTCTGGGAAGGTGGAGGAGCTGAAGAGCACCCTGGAGAAGCTGATAGCAGACAACCCAGACTCCCCAGAGGCAGACACCTGGAGACAACAAATGAAGGAGATCGGTGAGTGGTACTGGGATGGATGAATAGGGTCGGCCATTTTGAATAGTTATGAGGTAAGGGACACATTCTAACATAAGGAACCAGTAGGCCTATATAATTTGCATGGGCATCTACATAAGACTTGGCCCTGAATCAAATAATTAATAGGGCCATCCATTTTGAATGGTAGATTCATCAGTTTAAGGAACATATGACGTTTTATTAAGTGAGGTACATTTCAGAGGATAAGAAGACAGGCTAATATAGTAGTTATTTCAGATTTAATGAGAAGGCGTCAGCAAAGGTTATTAGCTTTTTTCACGTCTTGAAAGGTGAAGAACAAAGAATATGTGGGAGGTTAAGATCAATATTAGGTAGCGAATGAATGGGATGACTCCTTGTCAAAGCTATTAAAATCACCTTCAAATACTTTATATCTTTACCCTGACCTGATATAGCCCTGTGATATTTAAGGTAGGAACACGGCAGAGCTCCTTTCTCCACACATTTCACACAAGGCCTTATTTCAAAGCCATGTGGATCCAAGACTCACTCTAGAGGAAAGCGTACAGAGGCAGAATAAAAATTAGTTAATGCATGTTGAACATTAACACAGGTCCAGGGGGAAGGTTCTTCCCAATGATGTGTATAAACAAAGGATGACTGACAGGGAGCGCTGTATCGAAGCCACAGCACAGCCATCCTGGCACTCCTCCTCAACTGCAAAAAAAGATTGTGTCTATAATCATAATGATTATTCAGTCTTGCTGAGTCACTCATGGAACCCATGAGTTTCACTGTTATGGTTCTCCACTAGTTTGTTAGTCATTTTTTAATATAAGTAATAGTTGCTATGGTTTTTCACTCCAACGTTCACTTCCTATTTACCTAGACTCCCGCTGGGCAAAGGCCAATGAGACGGCAGTACAGAGGCAGACGGAACTGGAGACCTGTGCTGATAGGCTGGGATGCTTTGCCACAGCAGCCAGTCAGTTGGGGCCGTGGCTCAGAGAGAAGGAGCTGATGATGAGTGTGCTGGGACCCCTGAGCATCGACCCCAACATGCTGAACACCCAGAAACAACAAGTGCAGGTACATAGAGGATGTTAACTGTGTTGAACACATGCAAAATAATGAATAAGAATGTCACAATAGATTGTCCACAACTTGCCAATTCTGTAAATACCAATACCAACCGCATTCTTATGAATTAGTGATAAATTGTACTAGCCAAAATGTAGAAATTATTCCTCATTGACGGATAATGTTCCGACTCCTCTTCTTTCCTATCCCTCCAACCTCCACAGTTCATGCTGCGTGAGTTTGAGACCCGCCGGCCCCAGTTCGACCAACTCACCCAGGCGGCCGAGGGCATCCTTTCCCCGTCTGGTGGTGACTCCTCCCCGCAGGATGACAAGGACCTTGCGGAGGTCCGGTCCGACCTGGCCTCCATCTCTCAGCAGTGGGACGACCTCACTCAACGTCTGTCCCAGCGCTCGGAGCACATCGACCAGGCCCAGGGCACCAGCGAGCGCTACCAGGCCCTGCTGAAGGACCTCTCGGTCAGCGTGGGGGCGCTAGGCGAGCGGCTGGATGGCCAGGCCTCACTCAGTGCTCAGCCCGAGGCCCTGAAACGGCGTCTGCAGGAGACAGGCGAGATCCGCACTGAGCTGGAGCAGAGGAGGGAGGAGCTGGGCAAGGCGGAGAAGCTGTGCGGCGAGCTGAGCGCCATCGTGATTGAACCTTACCTGAGAGACGAACTGAAGAAGAGGCTGGAGAGCGTGAGTGGCCCGCTAAGGAGCCTGGAGGAGAGGGCCGGTGAGTGTTCTGTTTTGTCTATGGTGTTTATCTTAATTCTGTTTGTATGAATCTCTATTGGCTTCAGTAGTATTTGTATGTAGAGGGTAAAGTTTTTTATTTTTTGGTCTCATCATGGCTAGTGGTTTTGAATCCAGCACTACAACCTCTCTCAGGCTTAGGTAGCTACTCCATCTGGTTGAATGTTCTTCATCAAAACATCTGTAAATGAATAGCATTAAAATCCTCTGTCCTCTCCCTCAGCTGACGGTCTGTCCCAGCTCCAAGCCGCTCTCTCCAGCACCCAGCAATTCCAGCAGATGTTTGAGGAGCTGCGGAGCTGGCTGGACAACCAGGGTGGTCAAAGAGACTCTACCGTCGACTCTCTCCCCTGCCAGCCTGAGGCTCTCCAGACCCTGCTTGCCCAGCAAGACGAGCTTCATCGCGGGGTTGCCAGCCAACGTGGCCCCTACGAGCTCATCCAGGCCGAGGGGGCCTCTCTGCTCGCCTCGCTACCCGCTGGCGCCGAAGAACAATCAGCCTTACAGTCCCGGCTCACCACCCTACGCCAGGACTGGGATGAGCTAAATCAATGCATTGCGGAACGCCAGAACCGGCTGAAAACAGCCCTGACCAAGGCCGAGAGTTACCAGCAGCACCGCGCCGAGCTCACGCCCTGGGTGGCAGAGTGCGAGAAGCGGGAGGCTGACATCCAGCCCTCCCTCGACCCTGCGGCCCTGGACGAGGCCTTGCAGAAGGCCAGGCAGCTGGGATTGGACCTGGAGCGCCGTCGCCCCCTCCTGGAGGGTTTAAACACCGCGGCCGACCAACTCCTGGAACACTGCCGCGTCGGAGAGGAAGACATACGCGACGAAAAAGCCCAACTCAACCGTAGAGTCGACGGGCTGGCAGAAAAGCTCCAGAACTGTGTTTCCCAATTGGAAGAGTTAGCGGGTCGACTTAAGGAGTTTGAGGACGGCCGGCAGGCGGTGGAGAGGAGGCTGGAGGCGGCGCGGCATCAGATCGAGGTGCAGGAGGCGCTGGGCCCACAGGCGTGCAGCAACAAAAGCCTGGAGCGGCTGAGGAGCCAGCAGGAGACGCTGCACTCGCTGCAGCCACAGGTGGCCTACCTGAGGGATCTGGCCCAGGGGCTGGTGCAGGACGCACCCCAGACAGCAGGGGGCGGCGGACAGGGAGGACAGAGGCTGGAGCAGCAGGCTCGAGACACAGACCGAGAGTTTGGAGACGTAAGCGAAAAGGTGAGAAGATGTGTGAGGAATTTAGTATACACTGTATTTCATATATAAATATTTCATAGACACTCAGATTAACGATAGAGCACTGTATTCTGTTCAATAGGAGAATGTTTCAAAAATGAAGCATAGTTTTCAAAAATATATTACACTCAAATACAATAAGGGTGTCTCAGTACTCTTCAACAGCCTTTTCTCTTTTGAAAGCATTTGTTTGGGTATGTTGGACTTATCACTATTAATCGTCCTTTACAATTACATTAGTGAGTATTGTAACACAGCCAATCTGTTCAGCCTGGAGTGTGGCTGATACAAAGGAGGATCTAGTTTTAGCAGGGGTCGTTGTGTGCGAGGGTGTCAGGGCGTGTGTGTGACAGTGTGTGTGAGCCTGTATGTATGTATGTATGTATGTGCGTGTTTGTGTGTGAGTTGAGATAGAGAACAGAACGTATTTAAGCTGACAGAGGAGTTCAAGTATTAGCAGTTCCAGTGATCTTATATGGTCATTGTACAGATAGAAAACTTCAGACCACTTAATCACTTTACTGAAATGTAAACCAACGAGTCAAGAGCATTGTACTGTATATTGATACAGTGCCTTCAGACAGTATTCAACAAAAAAATCTCACCTATCTACACACAATAACCCACAATGACAAAGTGAAAACCTGTTTTTAGAAATGTTTGCAAATGTATTGAAAATTAAATACAGAAATAGCTCTTTTAAATAAGTATTCACACCCATGAATCGATTACAGCTTCGAGTCGTCTTGGGTATGTCTGTATCAGCTTTGCACATCTGGATTTGGGGATTTTCTCCCATTCTTCCTTGCGGATTTTCTCAAGCGCTGTTAAGTTAGATGGGGAGCGGCAGTGAACAGCAATCTTCAAGTCTTTCCACAGATTTTCAATGGGATTCAAGTCTGGGCTTTGGCTGGGCCACTCAAGGACTTTCACATTATTGTTATGAAGCCATTCCAGCATTGCTTTGGATGTATTCTTGGGCTCGTTGTCCTGTTGGAACGTAAATCTTCACCCCTTTCTAAGGTCGTTTGCACACTGAAGCAGGTTCTCATCAAGGCTTTGCCTGTGTTTGGCTCCATTCATTGTTCCCTCTATCCTTACCAGTCTCCCAGTCCCTGCTGCTGAAAAGCATCCCCATAGCATGATGCTGCCACCACAATATTTCATGGTAGGGATGGTGTTAGACAGGTGATGAGCTGTGCCTGGTTTTCTCCAGACATAGCGCTTTGCATTCAGGCCAAAGAGTTACATTTTGTCTCATCAGACCACAGAATATTTTGCATTAGAATCAGAGTATTTCACGTTCCTTTTTGCAAACTCCAGGCGTGCTGTCATATGCCTTTTTCTCAGGAGTGGCATCCGTCTGGCCACGCTCCCATAAAGCCCAGATTTGTGAAGTGCGGTAGAGACTGTTGTCCTTCTGGCAGGTTCCCCCATCTCAACCAAGGAACTCTGTAGTTCTGTCAGTGGTCATTGGGTTCTCGGTCACCTCCCTGACCAAGGTCCTTCTTGACCGGTTGCTCAGTTTGGTCGGACAGCCAGCTCTAGGCAGAGTCTGGGTAGTTCCATATTCTTTCAATTTCCCAATGATGGAGACCACTGAGCTCTTGGAAACTTTCAACACTCTAGAAATTGTTTTATACCCTACCCCAGATATATGCCTCATCACAATTATATTTTGGAGATCTACAGACAGTTCCTTGGACTTCATGGTATAGTTTGTGCTCTGACATACACTGTCAACTGTAGGACCTTATATAGACAGGTGTGTTTCTTTCTAAATCATGTCCAAACAGTGGAATTGGCCACAGGTGGACTCCAATCAAGTTGAAGTGACATCTCAAGGATGATCAAAGGAAATTGGATTAACCTGAGTTTAATTTGCAAAAGGGTGTGAATACTTATGTAAATTAAATATTTATGTATTTCATTTTCAATACATTTGCAACATTTGTAAACATGTTTTCACTTTGTCATTATGGGGCACTGTATGTATAGTTCCGAAATGTGCCATAGATAGTTACTTATAGACTGGTTTCACTTACAAATCAATATGGTATTTGATTTGATTAATGAGAAAGTTAGTCATCAAAACAAAGAGCTAGGATACATTAACTAGGCTACATGAATCAGCATTTTATTTGTCCCGCTATTTATATCATATTATTACATCAGCAAGGCACCATGCCACTTTCAACTTGCTAACATTATTAACTCTCTCTCTCCCCCCTTCTCCCCCTTCCCTCCCTCCCCACTTCTCCCCCTTCCCTCCCCCCTCTAGATTGAACAGTGCTGTTCCACCCTGGAGTCCCGTCTCAAGGGTGTGGGGGAAGTCCAGTCCTCGGTGCGCGACCTCTTCTCCCGCCTGGCCGACCTGGACGACGAGCTGGACTCTCTGAGCCCCGTGCGGCGTGATGCCGACTCGCTTGCCTCGCAGGCGGATGCCGTCCGCACCTTCCTGGCTCACCTGGCCACGTTGAGGTCGGAGCTTGAAGGTCACGGGGGCGACTGCACCGCCATGCTCCGCCGAGAGGGGTCATCTCCCGATCTCCTCGCCCTGAGGAGAGAGACTGAGGCCCTGAGCCGCCAAGCTGGGAAGCTGGCCGAGAGGGGCCAGGCCAGACTGGGGCAGATCGAGGCAGCTGCCGAGAAGGTGGGAGAGTTCTACGCCCAGGTGGCGGAGCTGCAAGGGCTACTGGGAAGGGCAGAGGAGGGACTTAACGCGCAGGGCGTGGTGGGGACGGAGGTGGAAACCATCAAGCAGCAGCTGCACGAGTTCAAGGTAAGAACAAGTTTGATGTTTATGGTTGGAAATGTGAATGTGCTACGACTGAAATGGAATGACTAGAATGGACAATCTCGTTCAAGTCAACGTTCCGTGATGGGTGGGCCGCCGGCCATATTGAGTTTATCCAGGCCTGGAAGTCATTCTCTTTCTATGGCTACTCTATTGTAATATGTATTTGTTTTGTCTTGTGCTTTTGTTCTCTGATACGTTTTTGTTTTGGTTGCGGTACCGTGTAATATTTTTGGACATTATGTCTTCAGATATTGGTAAATTGGGTAGAGCCAGCTATGGTTATACTGTAGCACAGCCTCATAGAAGTGAGCTTGGCATGAGTTTCCCAAGTGTTTTTGGTGCCGGCATCAATGAACAGCCTTCTGAATTTTCTTGTGATTTCTCAGAGAATGGAAAACGTACATTTCTAGCCACAGCTCCAGTATTATCTAGCCACAAGCCACCATTTGGGAAACATTGCGTTACGGATGTATTGGATATTAGAACCAGCTATTAGAACCAGTCCAGCTATGGTTATTGTGAAGCTGTAGTTATTCTAGAATTGAGCTTGACGTGTTTCTTTGGTTTGAATTATATTCAGTAAATATTGTGCATAGAATTCTAACTGACATTGTATATGTTATTGCATAGTAGTTGCTCTGGCGGCCATTTTGTTAGAACCTCTGTTGGTGCTTAACTCTGACCTGTAAAAGTATTAGTGCGTCTTATTGAAATAAACAATTACTAACACAGATCCTTTTGAAAGCCTTTAGTTACATAAGAGTAATTTCTTGGGAGAGTTCTCAGAGGAAAGTACTTGACCCTTCTTGGTGGTTGAACATCGTGGATTAAGCCTCCTCTTCTAGCACAGATGCTTTGAGTACATGTCTCTCTCTGTCTGTGGGACTATGCCTACTGTATGTGTACTGTGGCATCCTCTCTTCTACAAATCAACTCGCACTACTTCCCTACCCTTCATGCTCTTGTATTATCACAGGAGGAAACAGGATTTTGGTCGGGTGACGTTTCTTTCCCGACTCCGCTCCGACCGTGGGCTGTGAGGAGGGTGTTGTCATGGAGTGTGACCCCTCTCCTAACTTGAGTCATTCCTCTGGCTCTCAGCTGTATTTATAGAGCAGTCTGGGGGGATGATGTATCCCGTTTCCCTCCCCCTATCCTTTATTCAAGTCACTGGAGAGTGGAAGAGGGGGTATGAGGACTGAGGAGTGTGTGTGTGTGTGGCACGTGCAATGTCCAGTATGTATGTGTGTGTTAGAGATGTGTTACCTTAGGGGACTTGAGTGAGCCTATGTGCATGGAAGGAGGGGTTGATATAGTCCAGATGAGCTTTACAGGGGGTGACAGAGTTCTAGAGCCAGGCAGAGAGAAGACTTTAGTCACTGCAGCACTGCACTACTCCAAGTGTCTGACGCACTTCTTCGCCCATGCTGACTCACTCGCGTCTAAACGTTCTTATAACGTTCCCTCAACATTCCCACAACCTCCCCTCCAACCCCTTACCGCTCCGGCGCCAGCCCTCGGAACTTGTTAGGGCCTGTCACCACGGTGATGGATGCCGGGCTAAATTTGATACCAGAGCGAATCGCACACCATACATTTGTTTTTTTCTTCAAGCTATCCTCCCCAGCCATCTAGGAGAAATCCCAGGCTAGGTAACCCAGCCAACAAGAATTAGCCTACTCCCTCCCCTCAATAGGAATCTACTGTAGAACGTTCAATAGGAGTTAACCATAGGAATTTGCTGTGTCCTGCTAAATAGGAATACAGTAACAGGGCCACTCCATTGTACTACTACTTTCCATTGGTTTCCATTCATTGTGAAATGTTAAATTAGATTTCATGAGTAATGTACAACACAGACAGTTCACAGACAGTGTTTTTTCCTGGGCTTTATGTCACGTCCTCTGCACTAGAAGTACCGGTACGAAAGTAAGTTTGTAACACCCCCCTTCTTATCTGTTTATTGACTAGTTACAGTAGTATGGGGGAATTTTTAAGTAGATTATGTAAATGATTGGTTAATTGTCCATTATATCATATATAAAGGAGTAATTATAAATATGTTAAAATATAGCATAAGCCTTATCTGACTGGAAGTGTGTCGCTAGGTTTACTGCACAGTGGTTGCTGATTGGAGGTGTGTTGCTAGGTTTACTGCACAGTGGTTGCTGATTGGAGGTGTGTCGCTAGGTTTACTGCACAGTGGTTGCTGATTGGAGGTGTGTTGCTAGGTTTACTGCACAGTGGTTGCTGATTGGAGGTGTGTTGCTAGGTTTACTGCACAGTGGTTGCTGATTGGAGGTGTGTTGCTAGACTTACTATATACTGGTTTCTGATTGGTTCAGCTGGTGTCTTAGTGTGGGAGGATACAAGACAGTTTGAGCTGCCTTTCTTCTCTTTCTTCCTTTTCCCTCCTTGTGCTCTCTCTTATTCTGTACTCTCTTGATTTATCGACACGAATAATATTGTGGCTGGCCCCCACTACCTTCTCTCTCCTTTCCCCCTCTTAATGAGAGCAAGCTGGATGGATGTTTGGCAGAAGACAAGCAGAGAGAGGAGCGAAAGAGGGGGAGAGCGAAAGAGAAATCTGTGAATAGCTGAATAGCAGTTAGAGAGAGAGGAAAAGAGAAGGGAGACAGCTTAATGGAACGTGCCAGTGTAAATGTAGAAAAGCTGGCCATTGCTGGCATTGACTACGGCAGGTAGTAAGAGCAATAATAATGGCACATTGTAAAAGTACAGCCGGCACTGTGTCTAGAGCATGGAGAGTTAGTCTGGCTGCATAGGAAGGCGTCTACGGGGAGGGGGGAGAGGTAAAAAGAGAGAGAGTCAGAAAGAGTGGGGAGGGCGCGAGTGAGAGGTTGAAAAAGAGAGAGGGGCAGATGGGGACAAGCAACACTTCCCTTTCCCTAAGATCCTCTTTCGTTCACTCAGGGAGCCCACTTGCCCTATTTCACCCCTCCCTCTTCTCCTCTCCTCCCTCCCTCTCTCTCAAGCCCTCTCTCCTCTCTGGGCTGTAATGGATCTCTCCAGGTCATTTCAAACCTGAACATGTCTGTCTGCCCTGAAAGCAGACTTGCCTGACTGCCCCACAATCCCATCCCCCCCACCAGACCCCAGTTTAGAAAGAAGGAAAAAAGACTACCCAATCCACAGAGATGATGTCATCATGCCTGAGATTAGAGAGGGGGGGGGGTGGTAACGGTTAGGGGGTAAGGTGGAAGGGGATATTGTCAGATTAGTGAAGTCGTATTGAGTCACAAAGAGACAGAGGGGCAGATGAGAGAAAGAGGGAGGGGAAGGATAGGGAGGTGTTGTTTTAAATGGCCTGTGGCATTTGTCCTCAGTCCCTCTCCGTACATGTGGCGTCTTGGCCCGTGTTCGGACACTCAGGCTGTTTATCAAGTGTGTTTTTATAGATGGCCATACGATCTGCGTAACTGTGCTCTTATGTGATCAGCAGAATTCACTTGTGTATTTAGGGGTGTTTTGTGTGCCGACAAGGTGTGTGTGTCTCTCGGGAGGATGTGTGTGTGGAGGGTGGGGAGACAGCTGAGATTCCGGACGCGCCCCCGAAAAAGGCTGGAATTAGAAACATCCTCTGATGCACACACACACACACACACACACACACACACACACACATACACACATACATACATACATACATATACATAGACTCCAGGGTGTGGCTCTACTGTATGTTACCTAGCCCCAGAACAGCTGGCTTAGTCTATGGAGCAGGACAGGGATGAGTTGAGGGGTGTTGTGAAGCTTTAAGTCCCCCACCTCAAATGGGGATTCCTGTGTAGGGCTGGTAAGGGGAACAGAGGTGACTGGTGAAGAATCCTTCCCTTAAATCATGCTCTCACGTCTCTGCTGTCCTCACCCCTGTTTCCACCCTCTCCCTCTCCACCCTCCCTGCTGCATAGGCCCCCGTCCTGGGTTCAAATACTATTTAAAATCGTTCAACTACTTTAGAGCGTCTGCTTTAGCCTGTCTGGAGTGGCAAGTGAGCGGGGTTTGGTTCAGTGCAACAGGCAAGCTCAATCGAGCCCAGCTAAAGTATTTGAAATGATTTAGAATAGGATATGAACCCAGGTGTGATAGAGCCCTCCCTCCATATGGGGTGTGAGTCAGATCTCTCATCTCTCCCTCCACCCTCCAACCAAATCCTCAGAGACATGCAGTAAGGGATACTGGGGTAGTCTTTCTTGTAAGGGATTATGATGTAGCTGATGTGCACGCTTCGGGTAGGAGTGGGCCATAGGCACAGCTCTAGGATCAGCTTACAGCTCCCTCAATTATTGTTACCCCCCCCCCCCCCCCCCCTCACTTAATAACTGTTTGGGGGTGGGTCTCTTTTTGCTAAATATTATTTGATCGATAGATAGTTTACATTGAAAGCGACCTGATTTACTGTTAATATGATGTCATGTTGATTAGGTGTTCCAGTATATCTTCCCCATGACTTTGCATAGTTACTTTCCTCATTTATCATCCTTAAAACCTGGCCCGATTTTGTGGTTCTCCACTTTGTTTATTTATTTAGCCCCTTTTGATCATGAACTCTTTGGTTCATTTTCATGGTTGTTTATTTTCTGTCCTAAGGGGTTGATTGGATCAGGTTAACACAATTTTCACTAATCATATCAGAGGATTTTCAAATTGACCCTTCCTGTACCCTGTTCACTGTGTGAGAACACACACACACTGTGTGTGTGTGTGTGCTGTTGCATGCGTGTGTGTGTGTGTGTGTTACATCTTTCTCTCACTCTCCCTGCTATCAGGGTCCTATATTGTCTCAGCTGTTGTGAATTAGACAGGCATGCCACAGCATATCTCCCCTCGCCCCTTATCGTCACCATTACATGACCAATCATAACAAATACACTGCTTCGTTACATAAACAACACAACTAGAATAATGTGTCAAATTAAGAAGCCCAATAATATACGTGGAAGAATTGATGTAATGTTGGAATACACTCAGAGATGGGAATGTGGGATACCAAGGATAGTATAATGCTGTGTGTGAGAAAAGAGTTGGCCCACTCACTCACCCCTCACTGGCCACAGCAGGGCCCAGCACAGGTGTTGTTTGGAGAGAGAGAGAGAGGGAGAGTGTGTGTGTTTGTGTGCGGCGTGTCTATTTTTAACTTGCAAAACACAGAAACCGGGAACAAAGCAGAAATGTGACCTCTAATTTGGCCAGGATTAGGTTATGGAAAAAACCTTTATCATTCACATATGGGCTTCATATCCATTCCAGACCCTGCCTAATAGTGCGTAACACCATAGTGTAGCAATGTCTTAGGAACAATATGCTAGTCTTTCAGGTAGGTAGGAATTTTTCATTTCCGAAACCATTGGCCACACATGACTTTAGTTAAACAATCTGTAACACCTAA